TATATATATATAAATTGGAAAGGTAGAAGAGAGAAAAAACTTGGTCCAATACCCTTGCTTAAATGCGTAGGGATAGTAACATACATTCATTAATTAATTTCCTAAAAATAGCAAATGTACAACTTTTTTTTCTTTGTCTTTAAAAATAGACTACTTATACAAAACTTGCGTTATAATACTTTAAGACATAAGTAAAAGTTAGAGAGATAGATAATGAATAGCATTGTGAGAAAAGGGGAATATTTACCTCAGATAAATAATTAAATAGCAAATAATCAGCATATTAATAACCGTAATTAAATGCATCTTATTATACACATTCTTATGTTACATGATATATTATTTCGTATAACAAATTATAAGTAATAAGGTGTTTAACTTCTGTCAAATTTACATTATAACATGATTTAATGTAAAATGAATCACCTATACCTTTGACATAAAGCATTGTAATTATATAGGTATTCATGCTATGTTATATAGGTATTACCTATATCTTTTAGAAAAAGTAAACGAAATTGAATAAACTTTTTAAAAAAAAAACTAGAATAGATTTTTTAATCGCCTAGAGCAGCGGTTCCCAATTTTTAGGGGCTATGGAATCTTAATTGATCGTTCTTTTAATTTGACAGAGACTTCAGACAGAGAACGAATTAAACAAGAAAAGACTTTCTTATTTTGTAAATATTTAATGGAAAAACTTATGGATTTTTTTTGCGTAAAATTTTATCAATACTTGTCTTGACAGTTGAATTCACAGATCTGCTGCGGCACCTAGTCTAGTTTAGAATTTCATTTTGGTGTATCTATAAACTGAATTATGGTTTTAGACACAATAATGAAAATGATGATTATCAGAGAAACGTATTGTTGAATGTAGTTATTTTAAATGGAAAGGTTCACAGAACCCTAAAGTTAAGTGGATTTCATTTTGGGAACTGCTAGCCTATGGCAAGTAAAAGAACTTATTTAAGAAGATTTTTAGATTAATGAATTTTTTTTTTAATAAATTGTGTTAAGGGCTGGGATAGTCTAGTTGGTCGGGCACTGGGCCCATGTCCAAGTGGGCATGGGTTCGATACCAGTCAGCCACAAAGACTCCCCGTGTAGTAAATGGTTACTGATGCACGTTAAATCTGTCTAGTCACTTAGTCCTCCACGTTCTCCTCTGGGGGTACTGATCTAGGAGTTTCCATGTCTTCTGGATTGGTTCAAAATTACAAGGCTACGGAGTTGAACATTAGTAGTCGTAAACCCAAAATTGGGTCGGCTGTTGAAAGACAGTTATAAAATTAAATACATTGTGTTAGATTTAAAAATAATTTAAATATATTTTTATAGAAAGTGGCACATTAATATGCACACTTTTAAAAATAATTCAAGGCTCGCCCTATTCTAGTATATATGGATTACCCATATCTTTTACGTAGAAAACTGTAATTGAAGAAGTATTTTTAAGTAACAATTTATGGGGTAAAAAAAAGTAAGTAAAATGCTATTTACAAACAAGACGACAATGCTATTCACTATCTTAACTTTTAACATGACAAGATAGTTACCAAAGAACGTCATTTAATAATGACATAATAAAAATTTGTATTCAGACAAAGGACAAAGATGAATATGTGCATCACATGTAATAAAGAAATTTTTTTTATTTTTTTTTTAAGTCTAGGAACCCTGAGTCTAATTGCTAGATTTGAATTTCCATTTCTTGAGTCACATCAATCAATCAATCAAAAAAAATATTCACATAAAACAATTTACAAATATACAACCAGGTCTTCAAGAGAACTGGGCAGTTATAGTCCTGAGTGATAGCAGCACAAAAAATTTTGGTCATTTTAATATTTTTTTTAAAAATATGCAGGCAGAAAAAGAAATTGCTATTGGTCAGCTGATCTAAATGCTGTGAACTGAATGCCATATAACCCAAAGAGATGACCTAGGTTCAAATCCTGGTGGCTGATCAATAAGATAAATATGGCAGATGGATAATGGGTTGTACTCAAGCTAACCATGGAAGGTTTTCCTCTCCATGTAATGCAAAAGTTAGATATTATTCAAACGATCTTTAACAAAGTTCTAATGTTTGATCCAGGATTTTCCTTATCTTCTGGGTTGGCTTCAAAATAATAGGGTTACTGTGTTAAACATTGATAGTCTTAAATGTGGAGGGGGAAAAGATGAGTCTAGAGCAATTTAAAATTATATTTGTTAATTTAATTGCTGTTAAGTATTAAGTCTGAAGTTCACTGGTGTGTATAATAATCTGAAGTGATACTGTTGCGAATATTAAGCCATAATATAATCTTTAATTGTTATAATAATTATGCTTGAACTAATACTGGTGTGAGTTGCATACTTGCCAACATGGATAGAAAAATATCCAGAAAAATTTGTACGAAATAATATAAATTTCAAGATAATTGTTGCATAATGTACTAAATATTTTAGACACGGGGAATTTTAGGGACTTTTATAGTCATCAAAATAGAAAAACTGCAATATTTTCCAGTTATGTTTAAGATTAAACATGCTTGAAATGTTATGTATTATGAATTTATCCATAATTTTGAATATTAATAGGCATTTAATTCATCAAAGATAGCAAAAAATTCTACTTCAATAGGGATTTTTTTAGGAAACTTACTCAATTTTAGGGAATTTTCTATAATGTACAAAAACCAGTAGAATTTTAATCAAATTCAGTAAATCAGTAGAAACTGGCGATATCCAATAGTCTACTGGAAAATCCAGTAGCATTGGCAGCTATGATTTATGTTTTTAACTATCAATTGCAATTAGTAGGCCAAAAATAATACTGGTCTGTAGAAAGTCTTTTTGCTCAGATTTTTTATTAAAAATTAAAATTGTTTATACAATTTTGGCAACAATAGTAAATTTTTTTAAGGATATGTGTGTTCATTTGAAATTATTGTTCACCAGTCCTGTTGGGTAATTTCTAGTAGTCTAAATTCTGTTTTAGTGGTCTCAGATCAGTGGACCACTTATAATTTTGCCTGTTATCTATTAAAATGGTTTTGAATCTGACGTGTTTCAGTATTCAAAACTTTGCAGCAGACCAACAATACAATGGCAATTATTTTATTTTAACCTGCAAATTATAACAAAAAAATATTAAAATTATAGACATTTTATGATACTGTCTCTCAGGTTAGTAGCAGATGCAAAAAAAGAAAATGCAGCTTAACATAAGAAAAAGAAAATTATTTTGCTCACCGATATAATATCACAGTACCACAACAGAACTTTTTAAAAAATAATATGCACAATATACAGCTGTGTTAAAATACAATCCCAATAGATGCTTGGAGGAAAAAAAAATTTTTTTTTTGGAATTTTATTCACAGATTACTATAGAAACATAAAATTTGTTGTGATTTCTTTGCACTCGGATATGATTAGTTTGAGATCGTATGACAACGTAAGTTAAGTATTATATTTCTTGTCTTGTCAAACTAAAAACGCTGCTTGAAAATTGTACATAGTAACAGTTGTAGACATTTTTTGGCGACTAGCATCGATAGCTAAAACAATGACAATGTTAAGAGTTTGGTATTGTATTTTTTTTAAAACAAAGATACATTAAGTGTGTTATGGAATTGCAGAGCAATATTCATAGAAATTATTCGTTTTTATTATACAAGGAAAAAATAGCTTAATGAGGCTTTGTATTTTTAAATAATTCAGTGTAAATTTTATTTTAACTTTTCTTTTTTAACAAAATTTGATAGTAGAATGAAAATTTAAAACCATATTTTAACATAATTAATACTTTGGAACATAAGGTGCGTCTTGTTATAGCGTTTAAAAACAACAAAGGGAAAAAAAATTCTTATGTACAATTTAGATTTATCTATTTTTTGTCAAAATGAAAAATGTCAACAACAGTTATTGAAACAACAAAGGATTTTGGATATGTTATTTGGTATTATTATATATATGATATTTTGAATAGCCAGATTTTTAATATAATGATAAATCTGGTTAAATACGATCTTTGGTGTAAATCACAGATTTTTCTTTAAAATTCAAATTTGGTTAGTCAACCACCTAGTTGACAACTATAACCAGAAATGACATCATTACTTTGGTGTATTCATTTTTTTTTTGGAGGAAAGTCAAAACAAGGTCATCTTTAGAAAAATTTTCTAACTTAATATATGATATGTGATAAAAAAATTGAGCATGCAGACACATGTTAAAATATTAAGTTTAAATATATAATTATATTAATGCAAATAAATAAACTGCAATTAATTATAAACCTTGTACGGTTTTTCTAGTATTTCAGACACAAAAATTTAAATATATTGTTAATTTGATAAGAAAAATTTTCTTAATTAAAAAGCATTTAATAGAAATTAACAGATTTCCATTGATAAATCCATTACATTGTTTGTTTAACTTAAAAAAGCAATGCTATAAAAGTAAAATTAGTAAAAAGGTAAATATTAGCCACCTATAAAGTAAATTTCCCAATTTGCTTTGGTTAAAGATGAAAAGAAAAAAACATAACTTGTTTCAGAATTCTTTTTAATTCTGTAATTCAAATGCATACTGTGAAATATTATCTCCATAAGTTTATTTGGAACAAAGTTTAATTTATATAATTAGACTTTGAAATAATAATGAACATCACATAACGGATTAAAACAAATGAATTTGGAGAGTATTAAACTACAAAAAAATATTTTATTTATGTATGAAGAGCCCTGAAGAGTTTTGAAAAAGAAAGGAACTTTGCCATTAAAACAATGTGTATTATGAAAAAAAAAAGAGTTACTGTGCAATTAAAATAATGTTGAATATATACAAAAAAAAAAGAAAAAGAGACAGACTGTTCATAATTTACACACACATTACACTTATTTCGATTTTGAGTTTCTAACTTACTTAATACACTGTTAATAAACTTAATTACAAAATTAGAATCTATAATGAAAAAAAGAAATCCAGTAAGGCTTCATGTCATATTTTACAAACCTACAACAATACATTTTCGTGCATAGTCAATGATCATAAAAAAAACGCAAGTTATGTAAAGAATTATGCACAAATACACAGAACATGAAACAACACATATCACAGCTATTAATAATAATAAATTAAAAAAAATACCGAAATTACTGCATCAAATGACGACACGTCCTGAATTAAAATTAAAAACCGTTTTCGATCACTTCTCGACTTCTGTACAACAAGGCTGCAGAACGTAAAAAGCTGCAACTTTGATTTTTCCTTTGCTTCAGCTGCTTCAATTGTCTTTATGTATAAAATGTTCATGAAGACGAAATGAGCTTTTTTTTTTGTTTATAGTGTTTTGGCAGGTTTCTCGTAAAGTGAGAGAGATGTACTTCAAACCATGTGTGCAGGTGAATTTGTGTTACTGGACGCATATGTGTGTTGGACCAGCAACTCTATGTCGCCCAGGACCGCTGCACCGTTTTCACTCACACCTGAAATTAAAATATTATATACATGAATAGAAATAATATATAATATAATACATGCAGATAAATACTGTGATTACACTATACACATTACATATTTCCTAGCTTTTACATTTTTTATTTATTTCTTAAGCTTATTTTTTTTAATCATTCTTAATCGAATTTTAATTACATAAATTAAACCAATTATTTGAGCCGTGATGGCTCAGGAGATGCAGCGTTCGCTTTTCAATGAGGTGAACAGGGTTCAATTCCCAGCAATGGCTGGTCAATACGAATTCCGCATCCGGCTCACACCGACCACAGTGTTGTCATAAGATATCCTCAGTGGTAGACGGATCATGGGTAAGACTCCCCTTGGCTAACCGTCGGAGGTTTTCCTCTCAATGTAACGTAAATGTGGGTTAGTTCAATCAAGAAGTCCTCCAAAGGCAATTTTCCCCCAATCCAGGAGTTCCCTTGTCTTCTGGATTGGATTCAAAATTACAAGGCTATGGAATTGAACATTAGTAGTTAGTTGTAAACCCTAAAAAATTGGGTCAGCTGTTAGACGACGATTACATAAAAAAAAGAAAGGAAAAAAACCCCCAATTATTTGATATTTATGACATTTTATAAAAAGCGAATATATGATCTCTTCTTAACAATCAATGTAAAGACTAACTTTTTATTTCAATACTAATGAAAGACTCAATAACTAAATCAAAAACAAAAATCTATTTATAACTCTTTATTTCTTACTACAAAAATGTTTCAGTCACATGGTTATTCTAATTCTCACAGCCTTTTTCACGATTGGCCAAATTATTTTCAAATTTAATATTGATTATGGGCGGTAGGCTTCAGTTTTGGCTATGTTATCTTTCGATAAATCGCCAAACATGGATCTCTTCCCATGCTCCTAACTGTCCATTGGGAACAATTAATTAACTTTTAATTTCGAATTTTTTGTGATTGGACCGGAGGCTTCAGTCTCCCAGTCCCGAATCGTTGAATATCTATCTTAACAGAAATTTTTGACGATAACAGAATAAATTTCTTTATTTTTATAATTTTAGAATGTGGTCATGTTCAATTTAAGCTTTACATAATAATTTTTTTCCCTAAGCAATTTCATTAATTTTTCTGGGATAAATATCGATACATCATATCCAAATTAAGATTTATTGAAAACAGCCATAATATTTCACTCCTACAATGAAATTACAGCCACTATGGACCGAGAATTTAGACTAAAATTGTTACTATCAATACGTATATAAAAATACATATTATAATAATTATAACTAAAATATTTAAGGACATTCATGTGATAAAATTAAACAGAACAAGATTTGCTAAACACAACTAACACAAGCAAAATATTCTAACACAGATAAATTAATTGCTAGCAGAGATAGTTTTACCAAGAACACAGTAAAGCAGAATGTGCTTGAGTCATGGTGGCTAAGGGGATAAAGTGACACAGATCCTTATGAGGCGGCTCATGTTTGAAGCAAAAGGATCCCAGATTGATACGATACTCTCAGTGCTGACATAAAATACCCTAGTGGTAGATAGATCTTGAATTAGATTCTCCTTGACTTTTAGCTGACCATGGGAGGTTTTTATTGTTTTCCTCTGCATGCAATGTGAGAGCAGGTTAGTTCCCCCCCCCCCAAAAAAAAAACACCCACGGAGGCTAGTTTGTCCTACTACTTGATTTAGGAGTTCCCTGGTCTTTGGGGTAGGGTTCGAATTTACAAGGTTACATAGTTGAACATTGATAGGTTCGTAAAAAATATTAAACTGTGATGTATGTCATAAAATAATTAAATTACCTACAAAATAAATGTTTCAAGCAGAACATGTTTCAAGCTGCCTTGAGTAATATAACAGGCTTTGATGTTTTTGATACAGATTATTTAATAGTGATTTGCCATAATGAATAAATATTAATCAAGGTAATTTGATTTTTGTATTTTACCTTATTTTCATCAAGAATTTCACAAATAATTTAAACTGATGATTCTAGAACATGTAGTTCCAAGAATGTCAATTAAGCCATTTTCGAAGAATATTAATTAAAAGTGAATTCTAAAGGCTTCAAAAACTAAATGTATTAGTAATGATTAGCTGTAAAATATCTTTAAATAGCTGAAGTTTGATATTTAAGTCAATTAAAACTACCTTTTTAGTAAAAACTGCACTTATTGCTTTGTTCTTTTCAAGTAATTTTGAAAATATAAGTTCAAAAGACTGTCTTTGAACTTCATCAAACAAATAAAGCGATACTCTAAGCATAGTTAGATAATATAGACGCATGCACGCACGGTCGTGGGTGGATACATTGGTGCTGATTTTCCAATTTTGCAGATACTTTATAATATTTATTGTATACATGCGTGGAAGGAAAAGAAGTCTGCAGTGAGGGGGGGGGGGAGAAAATACAAAGCAGACGAGGTAATCATGATTTAGGCAAGGTAGAAGAAAGTCACTGTTTAATTGCATGCATGCTGCTTCCCCCTCCGAAAAAAAGATACAACTGCCACTTTAGCCCAAAGATCAGCAATCCCACAGTTAGAGGTTGAGCATACAATCGGCTAGTTTTTTACGACTCGAAGCAACTATTTTTTCTTTACAACAAGAATAAACGATTGCGGAGACAGAATTAAATCTTTTAATGAAATTTCGTTTGGAGCGAACTAACTAATATTACTTTATACGAATGAAGTTCTTAAATTTCCTATTTATGCATAACTATAAATATTAATCTTTCTCTAATGTTTTTAATGTTGATGCGCATGTGTATATAGATATTTTTTTCGAGAATAAATTAAAACTTCTAAATAGTTAACTGTTTTCATATATTTAAGAAAATTATTCCATTACCGAAAAATATTATGAGCTTGCAGATACTTTTGGATAAAGTGCGGAGATACTTTACGTATTTTATCTTACTATGCCTCAATGATTTCAGTTAATTCACAATTATTCGTAAAATTTTTATTAGAACCTCAAAATATACATAAAAAGGGCAGCTTTTTTTGAAACACTACATTATGACTTTTTAAATAAAACAAATAAAAAAATGACAGCAACAAAGCAGAACACATATAACCTTATCAACTTAGCAAAGAACAACATAATAAATCCGTCGTAAGATGAAACAACAATGAAGCACACAATAAATCTGTCACAAACCAAAAATAAAGCACACAACGCAATCAATTCATTAAAACGAGGTGACATACCATTAGATATGAAGGCTCTGATCCATTGGAAAGACTTTGGAACAAGTATGAAAAAAGAAATTGACAATTTCATTAATTTCTTAAAAAATAATATGAAATCCTTATGATGGTGCATCCTTACATTATGTGCACTTAAATAGGATATCGGCCCGGTGGCTGAGTGGTAGCACTTCGAATTCTTGTGCCACGGGTCCTGGATTCGATCCTCAGTCTTTCGGTGGGTCGATGAAATTAGTACCAAGCATGCTTGGGGACTAAACACTGGGGGTTCTGCTTTCAGCTGACCACCAAATTGGAACATCGTAATAAAACATTGCACCCCAGAGCCTAAGGTCATGAAAACTGAGATAGGAAAGTAACATGGCCCAACATGGGCTGTCACGTCACTGAGTTTAGTTTTTAGTTAAATAGTATATGGGTAATACAGCTGTTTTGCTAAAAACTATGCACACAAGACTAGTCCAAGAGCAAGGTGACTGAGGCAATAGCCGTCAAACTTGTGGAAATTGAGAGCTTTTTTTTTCAGTATTTTTTATTATAAGATTTTTCAGGTTTAAATAACTTTCCTACAATTTATAAGTAAAGTATAACTGAGAATTTTTTTAAAGGCTAAAATATCCCACTATACATCTTTTATGTATGCACAACAGACAAAAATCTAGAGCTATTTTCTGTGACATCATATGATAAAACATTTGGCCAGGGCTCATCTACAGAAAATCAAATTAAAAAATAACAATAAAAAATAGATGCTATGCTATAATTTTAGGCGATATACATTTAAAATTCAAAAATAACTCGATATAATCTCTTTCGATTATTTGTACCTTAATTTAAGCAGGCTTCCAAAATGGATAGTGAATTGGAATTGTATTTTTGTTGTGGCAGACACACTACATTAATTTAACCTTAAAGCAGACAAAATTGCTAGATACATCATTCTCATTTCAAAAAAAATTACATCATCACAATTTGTGTACTTATCTATCATAAACCATTTCAAAAAAAACTTTTTTAATAGACTGCACTGAATATATAATTAATTTATTATTTCAGATAGCTACAATCGATGGAAATACTTTAAAATAAATCCTTAAGTTTTGGAAGACTTTCACACTTTTATTTGCATTCAGTAGTTCATTACAGGAGTTTGGTTTTCATTTGATTTGATTGTTCTTTCTGGAAGGAAGGAAGAAACTGACAGCCCTCTACTGAAAACAAAAAATATTCAAGTATCCTAAAATTTATAGGGAATACTCTTATTGTATTAAGATGCATAACAAATGTAAATGTCAGACAGCATTATATGAAACTCAGACAATTCATACATATACTTGAATATATGGGGGGAAGAAAGCTCTGAACAGCAATCGTTTATTTTTGAAAAAAATGTTTACCTTTTTTCTTGCCTCTTTTGTTTCTTACAATTTGATGAGCTATACTTTCTGTAGGAACTCCTTCTGTTACATCTGCCTGCATTTTTGCAAAGCTGATAAACACCTGTAAAGGAACAGTATTGATAGATGAAAATAATAGTACATAAGCAATAATTTATAATACATACGCAATTTACAACAAAACACAGCAGGCATATTTTAAGAGATTTTCATTGAGTAGTACTAACAGCTATGAGCTAAACATATTATTCACACACACATATATATATATACAAGATGAATTTCCTTCTTTTTGCATAAAATGTTAAACGTCTTAATCAGAAACAGTTTAAATCAATACAGTGAGTTCTGGTAGCTCAATCGATAGAGCGTTCGCCTTCCAATGAGGCGAACCGTGTTGAAATCCAGGCTACGGCTGATTGATACGAATTCCGCATCCGGCTTGCATCGACCACAATGCTGACATGAAATATCCTCAGTGGTAGACGGATCATGGGTTACAGTCCCTTTGTCATCAGGCTAACTGTGGGAGGTTTTCGTGATCTTCCTCGCCATGTACCACAAATGTGGGTAAGTTCCATCAAAAAAATCACCACGAAGGCAAATTTTTTCCAATACTTGATCCAGGAGTTCCTTTGTCTTTTGGATTGGGTTCAACTGTCAAAAAGTTTGCATGAGCTGTGATGGCTCAGGGGATAAAGCATTGGCCTTCTAATGAAGTGAANTTAAACGTCTTAATCAGAAATAGTTTAAATCAATACAGTGAGTTCTGGTAGCTCAGTGGATAGAACCGGGTCAAAATCCAGGGTACGGCTGATTGATACGAATTCCGCATCCGGCTTGCATCGACCACAATGCTGACATGAAATATCCTCAGTGGTAGATGGATCATGGGTTACAGTCCCTTTGTCATCAGGCTAACTGTAGGAGGTTTTCGTGATCTTCCTCGCCATGTACCACAAATGTGGGTAAGTTCCATCAAAAAAATCACCACGAAGGCAAATTTTTTCCAATACTTGATCCAGGAGTTCCTTTGTCTTTTGGATTGGGTTCAACTGTCAAAAAGTTTGCATGAGCTGTGATGGCTCAGGGGATAGAGCATTGGCCTTCAAATGAAGTGAACCGGGTTTGAATCCTAGCAATGGCTGGTCAATCCGGATCCGGCTCGCACCAATCACAGTGCTGACATGAAGTATCCTTAGTAGTAGGCGGATCACGGGTTAGAGTTCCCTTGCCGTTAGGCTAACCGTGGGAGGTTTTTCTCTCCATGTAACGCAAATGCGGGTTAGTTCCATCAGAAAGTCCTCCACGAAGGCAAATTTCTCCCAATTCCAAGAGTTTCCTTGTCTTCTGGATTGGGTTCAAAATTACAAGACTACGGAGTTAACCCAAAAATTGGGTTGGCTGTTCAACAACGGTTATAATATAAAATAAAATAAGCACAAACACCAACCCAGAATAAAAAGAAGCTTACTTGATCTAGAGTAGTTTGAGAGACTGAGTAGTCTTCTATACTCAGCATTTGGCGTGCTCTTTCCAACTCTTGGAAAACCATTGCTAATGAGAGCGAAGGTGCCAACTGATACTCCATCTGGTTGAGATGCTGCTCTTGTAAAGATGCAGCACTTCCAAATGTATTCTCCATAAACCTCCTCACTTCCTCCATCGCTGTCAAGGAGTTGGTCACTCTTAATGTCAAAGTATAACCATGACCATACCTGTTAACAAACATTAGTTCATAAATTGTGTACCTAACAGTATAGTAACTTATGTCACAGTTTAGAAGTTAATTTAATTAATTGTCTAGACAAGAAAAGAATCATTTCACATTTTATATTCTAAGTTAGAACCTGGGTTTACTTAAACTTTACTGGAATCTACTTTACTGGAGTGGAGAAAATGAAAGAAGTACTTGTGTTTTACATTTTTTACTTTTCATAGTTTGATCAAGCATTTCAACTTAACAACATTCATTCAACTTAACTCATTCAACAAGCATTCAACTTAAATGCACACTTACTTCATCAAATAGGCATGTTTCTTATTTTGTTAGAGGAAAGAGAAAAATTCATTTATTTGCGAAATTCATTTCCTTAAATCGGGGTCAAAGCATACGAAGATGATTTGAGAAAATAAAAACACAAAAGTATCTTATTACTACTTTAATTTTCATCACTATATTTTACTTACTTATTTTTTAGGTGCTGAATACTCCCTAGACAACGGAACTGCCCGTTGACCATGATAGCCAAACGTGTACATAAGGCCTCACATTCCTCCATACTATAAGGTAAAAAATAAATTTTTTCATAAATCAAAAATTGTTCAAATATTCATATGGAAAATACAGTGACAGTTTATTAACCTGATTTGAGCAATATAAATACCTGTGGGATGTAAGGATAACAGAACGACCTTCCTTTACAATATCTATGATGCAATTCCAAAGGAACCTTCTAGCTTTTGGATCCATTCCTGTGGTTGGTTCGTCCTAAAATTAAATATAACATATATAGTCAAAATTAATTATTATGAGTCTCAATTTAAATGATACATCATTGAGAATGGATCTTAAATCTCTAACTCAGAGATCAGGGTGCGTAGCCAGATTTTTCAGCAAACAATAAGCACCTTTTAAGCACTAAAAAAATATTTTTAATCACTTTCCACAAGAAAAAAAAATTATAATTAGGATCTGTGCAGTAATAATTTTTTTCCTATCATTTAAAGTTCCTAATTTATGAATATAAAAATCAATAAAATTCAGAAACATTTCCAAAACTTTACATAATGATAAAATAAAAAGTTTTTGATAAATATTGCAGTATTTTTGATAAATATTGTGAAAATCACAAATTTTTTGTAATTTAGAACGATAATTGACACCTCAAAGAAAAATTCTCTTTTAAAAGATAGAAAATTAGGCACTGTTTATAAACTCCGGATAAAAAAAGCACCTTTAATAGCTTTTAAACGTAAATAAAAAATTAGCACATTTAAGCACTTAAAAACGCTAAGCATCTTGGTGATTCTCACCCTTTTTTCTGTTGCGATGCACAAAGAAAAAAATAAGTTTACAAGTTGCTTACTTACCATAATGCACTGCCTAAAATATTTATGATAGTAATTTTGAATGTAAAATAAAATATGTACTACAAAAACAACAGTACCATTAAGAGATTAATTACAAGTTAATAATAAGAATACTTTTAATGAGAAATTTGATTTTGATGTTTTTTGATAATTTCATTTATAGTTGGTTGTAAAAATGAAAATGCTACTCTCATATCGTCTTTTACATTTAACAGTCTCGATTTTTTTTCCTTCTTATGTTGGTTAATACTAAAAATCCGAATTCACACAAATAAGATGTAAAAAATTTTAATAATTTTTTTAAGCCTTTTTTTGGATATGATGGGACATTTAATGCCAATCCAAAATAAATTAATTGATTCTTCTGAATATTTTAAAATTAAATCTCGATTATTAGAAAGTGAAATTAGTTCCTCCTCTCCATTCAAAGTTAATTCAATACAAACCAATAAGGTAAGCCAGAGATATAATTTGTTATGGGAACATGGAGGACTTTGTTACCAGACAGATTTAATGTGTACCAGTCACCATTTACTACACAGAGAGTCTTCGGCTGGCAGGGATCGGACACAGGCCCAACACCTTACATACCACTAGTAAGGCTATCCCAGCCATACTTGTTTTTTAAAAATGCCTACTATTAAAAATACGACTACTGGCCACTGACCAGTCGCAAATTTTTCCAGTTTTAGACAATAGTATCTCATAAAATTCTGCAGAGAGTAACATAGAAAACAGCGATAGTAGAATCTGACTCCAGTACACATTTAAACATTCCTTTAGTATCCCTAAACATAGACAAGTAAAACATGTAAAAGAAATATAAGAATAAGATAAAATTCATACCAAAAACACAACAGATGGATTTCCTACTAGAGCTATAGCAGTGGACAGTTTCCTCTTGTTGCCTCCGGAATATGTGCCAGCACATCGATGACCGTGAGCAAGGAGGCCTAATTTTCTAATGCCCCACACAGCGACCTGGAACATCAAGAATATGTTATTTCGAGGAGTTAAAAGTTATTAGCTAACCTTTTTTTTTCCCTTCCAATGGCAGGCACTGAATTTGAATCTTTGCCTATACTATGCCAGAACTGTTGCTCATTTCGCGTTACCCAGTGGGCACCTGTGAACCAAAGTCATAGAGGCGAGCAACATTGCCCACACCACACTGCCACAAACCCGTTTTTCACACATCATACACACACAACAGAGGACAGCACAAAGAGAGAGAACACGCTAACCACCGGCCAGGTGGCCGAGCGGTTAGCGTGCCTGACTGCGAAGCCATAGGCTGCGGGTTCGAATCCCGCTCTGGGCATGGATGTTTCTCTCTCTATTAGCTAACCTTAAAGGGTAAATCAAGACAGTGTGTGAGATTCTTTTTAGCTTTAAATTATTAACCCTCAGCGTAGGGCTCTCACAATTTGAGCGGAGTATCAGTTTCATCGTAGACTACGGGCCACATGAATATTGCAGGCGAAAAATCTTTGCCCCGTGTTTCAATACTTACCCCTCGATTTTCCAGTGTAGGTGGAAAAAAACATCATTTGATGCTTATTTTCGTTGCTAGATGGCACTAGAGGGTTCAGAATTTTTTTCTCTTGCTTGATCCCCCCCCCCCCNCCCCCCTGCACATATGCGAGTTTGCATGCTTTTTGTTTTTCTTTCGAGTGATAAACATTTATGAAAGATATGGATTTGCAGATTGTCAGCACCGTTATATGTGGGAATAACAAACGAAAATATCTTGATGATGAAGATAGTGATTCGAAGTAATCCATAAATCTGGGCTTTTATTTTATTTTTTCCTTTTATTACAAAATTTCTGTAACATTTATGGTGAAAAAATATTTAAAATCTTATAATAATTTTTTTAACGTTTGTAATGTATCATTGCCTTCGATTACCCCCAGGTGGAACCGTTTCATTGCAAAGAAACAAGCTCAGGGTTCTCATTGATTTAAAGTTCTAGTAAGTTAAAATGTTAAATCAATTTATACTTATTTTTTGATGTATAACTGTATTTTATTTTGAAGGCATGTTTAAATTCAATTAAATTAAAATTAATAAATCAAAATAATATAAAATATAAACAATCAACGCCCCCCTCCCCCAGTGGGCCGCGGTAAAATTATCAAACGTTGACAGGTCCGCAGTGATAAAAAGGTTGGGGAACACTGTTATAAGTAAATTATTGCGGCCTATATTTCATAGTCTAATATTGTACAATGGAACAATTATTAAAAGACAAAAAATTTAGAGATGCAGACCTTTCGAACGTGTTTTTCGGGTATTCCTCTGAGCCTTGCATAAAATTCCAAATGTTCATAACCAGTCAGATGAGAATCAAGAGCGTCAAACTGTGGACAATAACCAATACTCTGACGAGCATTATCGATGTCAGTCTTGATGCTAAACAGGAATGAACAAAATAAATCAGCTTAAGAGTAAGAATCAAAATTAAAATAAATATTATTAGTTTAGGTCTTTTTTTTTAATTTCTCTTCAAGTAAGCATAAGTGAACATTAAAATTACTCCAATACCACCTTTAAAAGATGTTTTAGTAGTTATAAAAAATGTGGGGGGAAAATGATCTTTTAACAACATGTTATATATTTTTAAATATTTATGACAGGTTATTACAGAGTTAATGCTTAAATGTATGATTTGAAATTAGCTTGCTGCAATAAAAGTAAAAGTGACTATTTTATGAACAGCTTTAAAATCCATTTAAATTCTTGCCATTAGACAAGATCACGTAGAATAAGATGGAATTATAGCGAATTGAGCATGCAAAAGACGATTATTACAGTTTAAAATGTGCGGGTAGTAATATGATTTTGTATTAAAAAATAATGCCGCTAAATAACCAAAATACCAGTGTTGAAATCGGTAGCAACTACAACTGAAGAATCACATATTTATGACAGGCTCATCAAGATTCAAAGTTCGCATTTCATAGTATTGAAAAATCTGGATTTTAAAGAAATTGCCAGGCTTTATGACAAAATTGTTGCAATTCAAAACTCTTGTAAAAATAATTGAGCTGTAATAATTGAATAGATTAATTAAATCATTGAAAATAAGTACTTCTTCCATTGACATGGCAGCCCTTTGTGGGCCATATTAATTAATATACCGTTCGCTGTGACATTTGAAAGCAAGAATCTTTCCGTCGGTCAGTAATAAGGACATATAGTTTCTCTACTGGGGGCGGGAGAGAATAAAGGATGATTATTTGGTAGCAGTTTTTACCAAGGAAATGTTAAAACTCACTCAATAGAGACATTTGTTTATTAATTTCTCTAAAATTTAGACACAATAAAATTATCAACCGTTTTTAATTGTAAATTTCACTGCACAAATATTGAGTAAATAATTGTAATCTTAGAAGGGACAAGTGTTTCATAATCTATAAAATATGAGGGGGCTAGTGGTCTCCGCTAATACAAGTACCTCTAACAAAAATAAGTAGAGACTATTAATATCTTTTAGCCATTGGTTCGTAGGCCAGTGACTACTCTTGTTTAATGTAAACCTACTTAAATTTTCACACCTTTAGTTCAAAATAAATTTTAAAAAGATTCAATATTCAATAAGAAATAATGATACTTTACCTATGACCAGCGATGTATGCATTCCCGGATGTAATGGAAGTGTTACCAGTGAGCATTTTAAAAGTGGTTGTTTTACCAGCTCCATTCATTCCGAGTAAACCAAAGCATTCACCAGGCTGAACCGCAACACAAAGTTGGTTCACAGCAGGATACTGACCAGGCTTATATACCTTAGGACAAAATAAGTACAATAAATGGACTAAAATCAAAATATTTTTGGCGTCCCCTTCACAAAGGATAATTAATATTAATGGAGTAAAATAGATTTTACTTACAAATTTAAAAATAAGTAAAAGTCAACAGATTTTATTTATAAAAATGTGGTACAAACTACTAAAATAATGTACTGCTATCTTTAATTCTATAGAGCAAAATAATAGAATTATGAAGCTCAGAAATAACAAAGAGATAAATATTACATATAAAAAAAAGAGACTAGGTTTATACATCCTTAGGACAAAATAAATAAATGAATGTTCACAAAGGATAATTAAAATTAACAATGTAAAATAAATTTTATTTACAATTTTAAAAATATGTAAAAATCTACAGATTTTATTTATTTATATTCTTTTTTTATAAAAATGTGGTACAAACAACTAAAATAATTCAATGAACTTAAGCATTTATACTTCCTTAAAATAGTATAGCTTGATAATAATATAGCTTGAAAAAATAATATAGTACTAAAAATAAATTCTAAATTCTAAAAAATAACTTCTAAAAATAAAAGTTTGAAAATTTTTTAATAATAAAAATGTTAATATTTTTTTACAACGTGATTAAATACCTTTGTCAAACTTTCCATTCTGAGGACGGCATTACTGCAATGTCCGCCAAGTACTTTTGATCTTTCTAAGGCAACATCATCATCTTCTACTTCTGAAGATGTTGGTAAAATGGGGAAATTTCTAAAATATAATAATCCTTATCATAACTTTAGCGTATAAAAAGAATAAAACTACATTCTTCCCCATTATATGCAATGTATTTCAAAAACAAATGGTATAGCTTCTATGAAATTATTTTCATCATGAACAGAGCTTTATATTGGTTTAGAAATGCCAGTTGGTTTTGGAATGAGTTAAAAGTTTCGCAAAGCTATGACTTTTCCACTAGTTTCTTACTACAGTACAGAACCCGTTATCCGGAAATCAGAAAACCGGAAAACCAAAAAACCGGAACGAAATTCAATAAATTTTCCCGCCATTTTTTTTAATAAAAAATATTTTTTTCCTCATAGGATTTCAGGATTTTTCTTTCTTTTTTGAAAGATGTTTACCTTACCATCATTTTGGAAATAATCATTAGTGCATTACTTCTTCGCTTTTTCTTCTTTTTAAGATTATTTCCAAATATTTTTCTTTTTAGTTGAGTTTAACAATTAAAAAAAACGGCTTTTCATAGTGATTCAGAAAACCAGAAAAGTCAGTTATCCGGAATAGCGTTGGTCCCGATCGTTCTGGATAATCGGTTCCCTACTGTATATATAAAAATCGATTTGATGGTGTCGCAGTTTTCTATTGTTGTCGGTACATTTTTATAGGCTGGAAAATCAAATGGAAGGATCCAGTTTTCCCACATTAATTTTCATATTGGTTTGGTTGTCATCAGCATAAAATTGATATAACTCATAAAGTTATTGTTTCCCTAATTTAAAGGCCTGTTTAGACGATCCAATTTCTTGGACAGAGATTGATTGATATTGATGGAAACTTGTTTTGCTTTGAGCTTGGATCGTGTAAACAATCATCCAAGAACTTGGTTCAACTTCTTGGACGATAGTAGAGCATGTTCTACTTTCCATCCAAGTTTTTTCTCCCTTAACCAATCAGCGTCTTAGGTTTCGTGACGTCAACAAGCTGGCAGCAAATCATGTCATTTTGTTGTGGGTTTTCATAGATTTTAGTCCAAATAAATTGATCTGTTGAGGTTTATTTGTGTCATTATGATTTTATTTGAATTTATTTAGTAATTTTAAACTTATGTAAGTATTATTTTATAATGTTGAATATGAACAATGCGCATGCGCAAGTTTTTCTTTCAACGAATCAGCGACATTCAAGAACTTGGATAGTGTCAACGAATCATCCAATTTCTTGGACAGAGAAATCCGTCCAATTTCTCGGATTCAAGAAATTGGACCGTGTAAACAGGCCTTAAAGGTTAAAATTAATTAGACTGTTATTATTACATTTTTGATTTTGTTCTAAATTAACAGTTTTTTGGGTTTTTATTATTATTATTATTAGAATAATGTAATTCTATATTACATTTTATGGTGAGGTTATTTAAAACGTTGCCTGATGTAATGTTTTACAATTATCCTTTTTTGGTGCAAATTGAATTAATTTACTATTATGATTTAGAACCTATCTTTCAGCTTCATGCACAAAGTGATGAATGCAAAAATTGAATTTAAAATACATCCATCCGTTTGGTAAGCAATAATATTAAATGACAGTTGTGAGCTCTCCAAATTTGTTATAACAATTACGCTACAATACTCCCCTCCCAGAATTTCAACAGGGATACAATTCGATGAATAGACACCACTAGTTACCGTATTTGCAAAAGAGAAGTTCACGGTTGTGTGTGTGGTCACACCTGTTGTTTGTAAATGAAACTAAAAAGCAACAGTGTGAGCACAATGATGCACTCACAAATAGTAAATAAATAGTAACTGTGGACAATCCATTGGAGTAGGCGTGATCATATCACATCCGGGGCATCAACGAGGGAACTTATAAATTAGGAAATAGAATTTAATACTTAAACAAATATATAAGATAATACTAACCGTTTTCTGATGAAAAATTTGTATTCAATGAGCAGGGTGATGGAAAAATAAATAAATCCTTGAAGTGCTAAGTATATAAGATTTTTTCCCAAGAAATCCCAAGACAGTGGATTCCTGAACAAAGTGATACCTAAAAAACAAAATAATATTAAAAAAACATTTCATAGCTCACATGCTGTTTGGCAGTTGAAATAAGCTAGAAGTGTATTAGTTTTAAAACAGATGTTAATACAGTTTTTTTCAAATATTAATTTATTCATTAAACAGGAATGAGCGAAAAACAAAATGAAATTTTCTGATTCGCATGGTCCACATTACCAAATTTATACTTCTATTTATACATTTGATGCATACTTCTGATACATGCAGTTTTCCACATATTTTAAAGATAACATCAGTGATAATTTCTAACTTATAGCTGTATAATATAATAAGTCTGGGTTGTCATCAGCATAAAATTATTTTTGGGTTGTCATCAGCATAATATTAATAAGTTTGGGTTGTCATCAGCATAAAATTATTTCTGGGTTGCCATCAGCATAATATTAATAAGTTTGGGTTGTCATCAGCATAAAATTTAGTTTGGGTTGTCATCAGCATTAAAATATTTTTGGGTTGTCATCAGCATAATATTAATAAGTTTGGGTTGTCATCAGCATAACATTAATAAGTTTGGGTCGTCATCAGCATAAAATTAATAAGTTTGGGTTGTCATCAGCATAAAATTATTTTTGGGTTGTCATCAGCATAATATTAATAAGTTTGGGTTGTCATCAGCATAAAATTAATAAGTTTGGGTTGTCATCAGCATAAAATTAATAAGTTTGGGTTGTCATCAGCATAAAATTAATAAGTTTGGGTTGTCATCAGCATAAAATTAATAAGTTTGGGTTGTCATCAGCATAAAATTAATAAGTTTGGGTTGTCATCAGCATAAAATTAATAAGTTTGGGTTGTCATCAGCATAAAATTAATAAGTTTGGGTTGTCATCAGCATAAAATTAATAAGTTTGGGTTGTCATCAGCATAAAATTAATAAGTTTGGGTTGTCATCAGCATAAAATTAAGTTTGGGTTGTCATCAGCATAATATTAATAAGTTTGGGTTGTCATCAGCATAATATTAATAAGTTTGGGTTATCATCAGCATAAAATTAATAAGTTTGGGTTGTCATCAGCATAAAACTAAGTTTGGGTTGTCATCAGCATAATATTAATAAGTTTGGGTTGTCATCAGCATAAAATTAATAAGTTTGGGTTGTCATCAGCATAAAATTAATAAGTGTGGGTTGTCATCAGCATAAAATTATTTTTGGGTTGTCATCAGCATAATATTAATAAGTTTGGGTTGTCATCAGCATAAAATTATTAATTTTGGGTTGTCATCAGCATAAAACTAAGTTTGGGTTGTCATCAGCATAAAATTATTTTTGGGTTGTCATCAGCATAATATTAAAAAGTTTGGGTTGTCATCAGCATAAAATTATTAATTTTGGGTTGTCATCAGCATAAAAATAAGTCTGGGTTGTCATCAGCATAAAATTATTTTTGGGTTGTCATCAGGAAATCTAATGGAATTGTTTTTTTAAATGTGCTACATTTTAAGATAAAGTAATTTAAAGAGGTGTCTAATTATTATTATTTTACAATTATTTTACAATTGTTAGAAATGATTTGAACATGCACAATGGTAAGCGAAAATATTAAATTATGGTTGTGAACTCAAATTTGTGTGAACAATATAATGTTATAACAATATAAATGTTATTTTAAAAAATTATTACTTAGGAAAATTACTTCTGTTCTAAATATTTATGATACATAACAATCAACAGGGTTGGTTAGCTGAAGCCAACCAATAGCTTGGCCCCCTAGTACCAAAATGAAACAATGCTATTGACAAAGTCTGATCTAAAATTAAAGGAGGAAAAACTAGTACATAAATATCTTGGAATCCATGCTTAGCTCAAGAAGGTAAACCTCAAGCTAATACGGAGGAAAAAATTCTAAAAAAATATCAGAATGCAAATGACCTATTAAGAAAGTTCTTACCAAAGCTTGCTAGGGTTTCGTAGGCAAGTTGATTGGTGTAAAGGTCCATAAGACCACGGCCCAAACAGTAGTGAGGAAATATTAAATAAACTTGCTTCAAAATCCCAGCAATATCTTGCAATTCCTACAACAAATATCAAAGGACATTAGAAGCAATCTACTATGCATTGGTTAAAATAGCATTTTAAAAATTTTTTGGAAGTTGAATTCAAAAAGTTTTTTTCTTTCTTTTAGCGGACTTCCTAATAAACAACAATTAATAATCAGTGAGTTTACAGGGGGAGGGACTTACTTTATCTGTAAAAAGTTCTAGAATGTAGGTAGAAAGTGTGGTGACGATTCCGATGAACACATTAAGACAAGCTAGTGCGACAAATGCTGAGCTGGGGATGGAGAAGAGATAGGTGGTGGGGTACATCAAGGGTATACTTGACCACCTGCAGAAAAAAAAACCATTGAATTCAATACATTTCATCAAGAGCCAGGTTACAAAAAAAAGGAAGTACGACTCACCCGTATAAAAACAGAAGAAGTGAAAATCCAATAATGTTGTCTTTGGAAACATAAGCATCTTCTCCAAATACATAGAATATCAAGATGCATAAAAAGAATGGCACCATGTAGTTGCACTAAAAAGTATTTCAAAACAGTTAATAATTAATTTAATTGATTTAATTTTTAATGAAGAAATTAAAAATGCCTAAAAAGTAGAGTAGATATTGAAAACTGGTATGATATTGATGGGATATTGAAAACTACAAGTTATAACTCATGAGCATGATAACTAGGGTTAAATGAAGTACAGTGAAAAAAATAAATAAATGGAGCACCCTTACTAAATTTTGTATCTTCAGGTTCTAGAACTCAATCTTAATGGTTCGAGAGGGTGACCTCAAATATGCTAATCAATAAGTGCAGACAATATTTTAAGTAACAAAATCAGACACAACAACGTACTTTCTCTGAATAAACCTCTTTTTTTTATTTACCCCAAAATATATGGGCTAGCCTCAATCTTGGAGATATGGCCCCAATAGTTTAGTCAGAAGGGGGGTCCAAATTTTGGACCTCTTAATGTTTATTTAATTTTGTCATATTTCGCTATATCCCAGGAACTTTTTCAGCGAATTGAAAAATTTTTGCACACAATTATAATACTCTTTTGTCAAAAGATAATAAATACTATGCAAAAGTAAATTTTAGCAAATTTTTATTATTTTTTTTAATTATAATTAATAGTAGTCAAAAAAAAGATTTTTGAATTGTAAAGCAAAATGTTTTTTTTGTATCATTTTAAAGAATATAATTTTAAATGGCTAAAATAAAAAATTTGAGCAAAATTGGTCGAATAGTTCCTGAAAAATTGGAATTTTAATCTGACTTTTTTATAATTCGATTTCTATGGAACTATTTGACCGATTTTGCCCACATTTTGTATTTTGCCATGTAAAATTAAACAAATCCCTGCGAGTAGTATAAAAACCTAAAAAGCAGTATTATATTATTCAAATAACTAATCTTCCATCGCTATCTTTTTCTTCTTCTTTTTGTGTCGTTGAATGACTACAATTGAGACAGTAAAAAATAAATAAGACAGTAAAAGTGTCTCCTTTTTAAAAAATAAAATATAAAAACTAAAAGAATAAAACGTTTTATTTAAAATAAAATACATTCATTTAAAAGATAGTCTGAATTTATAAAAACATCAAATGTTGCTTCAGGGTTTTTCCACTTACTGCCTATTATATCTAAACTAAGAAGTTAACAAAAATTAACCACAACCTATTCTTATTTCTTTCCCTTGATAAAACATCTATATCCTCGATACCCTCGTTTTATCCTCGATAAACAATGATAAAACATCTATATTTTTTATCCTCTCCAACCGTAAAAGAACTCTTGATTTGAAGTTGCATTTTTTAATAGTTCAGTTTATAGTAAGTTTTTATGTAAACTTAAAAGTTTCTATGTGAAAAAAATTAATCATAAAAATTTGTTAAGATTTGCCTTTGGCTAAAACTTTTGAAATTTCGCTAACACTTTAGATATTTGGCGAATTTACCTAGAGCAGGACCTGCAGTTGAACCCATAATACAATTCAACTCAAATAATTTCTTATAATATTGTTTTATGAAAATATTTGTATTTACCAGATCCCATGTATAAGTTCCTATCCAGTATATAACAGGTTTGACACCGCTAACAAACTGCAAATGTTTTGATCCTGTGACTTTATCTTCAATAAGGAACATAACAAAGCTTGCAGATACAAAAGACATGGCAAAAATTAAGCACACAGCATGCATCAAGCCCAAACCTTTACGTTCTCTGTAAACAAAAGGAGAGAAAAAGTGCATTAAAATAAAGGATTTGAAAGCATTAAAAACAATATAATGATCAAAAATATTTTTTTAAAAAGTGTGCCTGTTTACAAACATTTTATTTATTTTTTGCAAAATCATCCTTATTAGTTCCGTTTGTTTACTCACTGTATTAAGAATCATTTTAATAAAAAATAGTCCTCACTATTGGTTGCTAAATTTTTTTTAAATGATTCACACAACAGTTTCAATATTCTCTTCTTCAAACTAACATAGATTTAAAAATTTGTATTAGATTTACAAGTCTAGTATATAAGTCATTTATAAAAAATAGTTAAATAAAACAAAAATATCATTTAACAAGCAATAAAACTGAATATTAATAATTGCATTAAACTATGGAACATTTTATTAAATAAAATTTAATGAACATGACACACCTATCACTTAGAAAAATAAACAAATAAACAAACAAAAGTTAAATTCTTTTTAATATATTTTGGAAAAAAACTAATATTTAAGAGCAATAGAAAAAAATCCAGTAGATTTTACGAATCACTATAAATTTTATGATAGTTGCTGCATAATGTACTAAATATTTTTCACATAAGGAATTTTAGAGTTTTTTCTAGTCATCAAAATAGAAAAACTGCATTATTTTCCAGTTCTGATTGACATTAAATCAATTTGAAATGCTATGTATTGTGTTTACTCATAATTTTGAATAGTACAAAATATAACAAAAATAGGCATTTAATTAATTAAAAATGTTATTTCAATAGAGATTTTTTTTAGAAAATTTACTATATATTAGGGAATTTTCTAAAATGTACAAAAACCAAGAGAATTTTTATTAAACCAGTAGAAACAGACAAAATGCTTAAATAATTTTTATTTTTACAATAAATGAAAATTGTTATTACTGAAATTTAAATTATGTTCTAAATATCTTGCCACATAAATAATATAGAGTTGCCACTCAAATCTGGAGAGAAAAATTCCCTGTACACAAGGGCGCTGGCAGCGGGGTGCAAGGGGGTGCCCTGGCTTTATTTATAAACAATTATAGAGTATAAATTTTTTTTTATTAAAAATATTTTTATTCAAGAACAAATAATTAAGTAATTATTGATACGTAACAATTAAAAAAATGTTTAATCAAACAAGATTTGTAATCGTCTTGTTAGCTGTTCAAATCTGCTTTTGTTCAATGAATTCTGAGTTATCTTTGATTCTTTTCTTATGCACACTGAGCATAACTACTTAATCTCTCGTGAGGCATTGTAGACCGATTCCATATTTTGGTGTGTCACATTGTACTAAAAGTGCGTTCAATAGTGCAAGTAGTAGCTGAGGCCAAGAGTTAGGCCAATTTTGATTGCCTCCGCTACAGCTAGATAAAACGGTGTGGCCTCAATAACTAAATTGATGTATTCGAGGGATTCACAAGAATTTTCACCACTCCTCCACATTTCGTACCACATAAATTCGTACTTTTTTTTAAATATCTTGTTAACAATGAAGAAATTTATCTTGAAAAAAATTAACAGATGAAAGTACATGTAATAACAAAACAAAATGTAATAACAGAATATTTAAAAAAAAATTTTGGGGAGGGGGGTAGTTTGTTAGAGGGTTGCACCCTCTTTTATATTATTCTGCCGGCGTTTGCCTGTACATATTATACACAACATATTAAGACGAATAACACTATCACTAGGTTCTTGTATGAACTGTAATTGGCTAACTATACTAGTTAAAGTTGCTGGAAAAACTTGAAGAAAAAAGGAACAGCTGAACATACTTAAAACAAATAATGCTACAGTAAATGAATTAGTTTAATATTGAAATATCATCCTTAAATATCTCATAGATTGCACTTTCAGTGGTTACAATTTTTTAATAGACAAAAATAAGAAACAAAATTCCCTGTATTTTCTCCAGTTTGTAAGGAAAAACTCAAAATTCCTTACATTCCTTAGTATCAAGAAAGAAAAAAAACAGAAGAAATAAAACTACTCACAGTACTTCATCCTTAAGCTGGTCTTGTGTGAAGTTCATTGGATGATTGATAACAGATATCCCATAGAAACTGGCATTGGCACCCGGTTGCAAGTGAGACCTCAGGATAAGATTATTCACTGCATTCATGTAAGCAATAGATGAGGCCCAGCCTTTATTATTGAACCAAACCTAAAAAATTATTCTGGTTTTTAAAAACATTTTATTGTAGCGATTGACATTTTTGTCAATATTTTCATGTCATTTACGTCACACTAGAGCTGCACAATGTGCCATTGGGGGCGGTTTGGAAAACATCCCCGATACCGCGAATCATCGGTCCCTACGCACGCCGATTGAAGTGGTCATTCACCCGCTTACTGACCGCAGCCAGTTATGCTTGACTTCGGTTTTCTACTTGTAACCGTTCTAATTAAAGTGAACTGATTCAATTTACTTGGATTAATTTTAAGCTATTAAAAAAATATTTAGAAAAATTTTACATAAGTACAAACATATTTATGTACTTCTCAAAAGAAACAAAACTTCAAAAAGATGTTTATTTCATATTTAAATAGCCCTGGGATAAAAAAATTACTCTTTCAATTTAAAACCTTCATTTGTAGTACTGGTTAATTATTATTTTATAACATCAAAGATTAATGCTGACATAAGATATTAAAATCCTCTTATTTTCAAAATTTTTTTAAAATGCCAAAAAAAGAAGAAAAAAATACAATTGGAATTTTTTTTAATTCAGAATAAAATCGAGGATCGAAGAAAGAGAGTTGAAAAAAAACTTCGCAGAAAAGTTTTAGAGCTCACGACATTTAACCACAGAAAGAAAACACAAAAAATTCCTAAAAAGTATTCTAGTAAAAATTTTATACAAGAATGAAAAATAAATCTTTTTAACAGGGTGCCTAGTCAAATCTTTCAACAAAAAATAAGCATCTTTTATGTACTTTCAAGCACTCAAAAACTATTTTTAAGCATTACACTATTGTACATTACCAAAATGTAAAATAATTTTCAAAGGCTTTACATGATCATGAAAAAAAAAAACTAGTTTCTGACAAAGAACACTTTTCCTGATTACATTAGGCATTATAAAATTATCAAGAGATTTTTCGGTTTGATATCAGATGGTGGAATTCAGAATATCTTGCAAAATGCAGCAGAGTTGCACATAATAGCACAAAAATCTAACTGAACGCAGCTCAGTAGACGCACATGCGGACTTGCAAGTATTATATCAAACATGTAAAATGATTGGAATTTTTATACGCTATGGATCGACGGTACGGCAAAATAGATTGTGGTTGAATAAATTGTGAATAACGCTAAATAGAACAATGTGAAAAGCAATCTTTTGCATAATACGTGGCGAAAATCAACATGGTAAAGAAAATAATTTTCATTTTTGAAAAGGGAAAATTAAGCCCTTTTTAAAAACACCCAATGAAAAAAAGCTCCTTTACAGGCTTTTAAGACAAAGAAATCGAAAATAAACACCTTTCAGCACTTTTTAAAAATGCTACGCACCATGTTTAATCTAAATTTATCTACTATTTGAATTTAATCATCAAAATTAGATAGAATAAAAGTTAAAACAAAAGTGAAAAACAATGGGGCGTGTTAAAAAATTTTTATAGTCCAAAATTAAGTATATTACCTTAAGCTTATATATTTATATGCTTATGCATTATTTTAAAAACTCTTAAAACTGTCTGAGCTTTGTGATTACATTGAGAAAAACCTAAAATTTGATTACAGAGCTACTACTTTTCATCCTCTTTATAATCAAAATATGAGGTAAAAAAAAATTAATTTTTACTTTGATGTTGTCAAACACTTCCACACTTCTCAACTTATCCTCAAGGTTGATCACCGTATCCCTCAATTTTGTGAGCTGATCATCATTTAACAATCGATCAGCAAATCTGTTGATTATATAATGGAAGAATGTGAAGTTCACTGTTGTGATTGGATTTTTAAGGCCAAATGAGAAACCACCATATCTAAATTAAAGAAAATGAAATCAGCAATATCTTTAAAGCAAAAAATAATGCTTCATTCTATGTTAAATATTGTTCACAAATAAAGTTGCATAAAGAAATAACGTTTTTAACACACTTAACAGCCACATAATCAAATATAATTGTAAAAAAAAGACAAGGATGGTTGTGCTTGAAAGAAAAGTGGAGACATTTATACAGAGTGCATAGCCAAATCTTTCAACAAAAAATAAGCACCTTTTCAGTACTTTTTAAGCACTCAAAAAATATTTTTAAGCACTATGTACATTAACAAAATGCAAAATAATTTTCAAAGACTTTACATTATCATGATAAAATAACTAGTTTCTGACAAAGAACTCTTTTCTTGATTACATTAGCCATTATAAAATGATGAACAGATTTTTAGGTTCAATATCAGAGGGTGGAAAATGAAGCCTGAAATTAAGAATATCTAGCAAAATGCAGCACATGAGAGTGCAATAATCTCACCGAACCCAGCTCAGTAAACGCACATGCGGAGCTCAGTAAACGCACATGCGGATCCGCAAGTTTTTAAATCAAACTTGTAAAAGGATTGTCGCTTTCATACGCTATGGACCGACGGTATGCCAAAATAGATTGTGGTTGAATAAATTGGAGAAACGTTGAAAAGAACAATGTGAAAAGCACGCTTTTGCATAATACGTGGTGAAAATCGACAAGGTAGGGAAGAAAAAAAACTCTTTTTCGAAAAGGGAAAATTAAGCACTTTTTAAAAACACCCCATGAAAAAAGCACCTTTAAAGGTTTTTAAAAAACGAAAATCGAAAATAAGCACCTTTAAGCACTTTTTAAAAATGCTACGCACCATGTCACGAGTGATTCATTAGACTGTGATAGCATATTCCTTTATTCGGTTTCAATCCTTAATGAGCATAATTTTTTCATTTTATTTTTGACAAGTTTTTCAAAATATATATATATTAAAGATGGTATTACGGAAAACCCTGTCGAGAAATAATTAAATATTCAACAAAATGTGTGCAACACAAAGTAATATTTAAAGATAACTTATTTTTTTTATTTTATAACAGTCTTTGAACAACCGACCTAATTTTGGATTTATGACTACTAATGTTCAACTCCACAGCCTTATAATTTTGAACCCAATCCAGAAGACAAGGGAACTTATGGATCACGTATTAGGAGAAATTTGCCTCATGGAGGACTTTTAGATGGAACCAACGTTATATGGAGAGGAAAACTACTAAAACCTCCCACAGTTAGCCTGACGGCAAAGGAACTCTAACCCATAATCCGTCTACCACTGAGGATATTTTACGTCAGCACTGTGCTAGTGCTGGGAGTNGCATTTGCGTTACATGGAGAGGAAAACTACAAAAACCTCCCACAGTTAGTCTGACGGCAAAAGAACTCTAACCCATAATCCGTCTACCACTGAGGATATTTTACGTCAGCACTGTGCTCGGTGCTAGTGCTGGGATTCAAACCAGCTTCACCTCATTGGAAGGCCAACGCTCTATCCCCTGAGTCATCATGGCTCAAATATAACAGATTAATAACAAAAATTATGACACAAAACAAAAAATTATTTCTTTAGATATTTAAATTTTTTACTGAATTATATCGGTTCCTAACACAGCTTAATTTTATAGCCATTTAAGTTATTTCGAAAACCAAATAAAAATATTAAGAACTTAAATGCTTTAACCCTCTGACTGATTATCCCGCGATTTCCATGGGCAACTGAATTGTAGAAAAATCTGCTCATCCCGCGGGCATGTGTTTTTCTTCCTTTATTGATGAGCGCATCCCGTTTATTCCCCGTATCAGCGGTATTAGACGTTTAATTTACGTTTTGACCAACAGATGTCATTAGTTGTCCTCTAAATTGCCGTATTTGAAAGCGCGTAATGAAAAGCAATTTCATAAGGGCGGAAAGCGCGTAGTGTAAAGCAAATTTTTAAAGCGGCTTCGGTCCAAAAATGGAGCAGTCAGAGGGTTAAGCTTCACCCAAAGAACATATTTGCTACTTTTACTTACCTTTGCTTATAGAAGTTCTTACGAGTTTTTATCAACCAATCAGATATATTTCGTCCAGTCATATTATAAACAATATCAGAACTACTAACAGCAACACTAGGGGGTTTCGTTCCGAGAGCACTTGCCGGGCATGCCTGAGTTCCAATTGTGCATAAACAAGGTTCTAAATATGTATTGTTGTTTGGATTTTGATCAATTAAGAAGGATCTGTTAAAGCTAAATGGTTCACAAGGTAGACCTCTAAAATGAAAAAAATAAATAAAGAGAAAATAAAGCATATGTAGGTTTTTTTAAAATTTTTGTAAACCATGTACACTTAACCCTTTTGACCCGAATAGGATATATACAACCCAAAGACTAAACTTTATTCTCTAATGGATAAACAGATTCCAATTTTGCATGTTTTTTTTAAAATGTTTTCAGGGTTCTTTAGGCATTAGGGAATAAAAATATGTCTAAAGGGAACTTGACAACACTCTCATCGCGGACTTCTTTTTGCGAACACGCTACTCAATCTCGTTTCAATTTACTTATTTTCTAAATTCTGAGGTAAGTACAACTATATTTTTGTTATATTTTGTGTGAAATAGTTAAGTTTGTTCTTATTAAGTAATAATTGTACCTATTTAGTATCAGATTTAGAAATTTTGACACATTTTGTTTTGGGGGATATGCTGTCCCAATCGTACTTTACATTGGATCATTATACTCCAATAGTACTTTACATTGAATCAATATACTCCAATAGTACTTACCAGTGGGACAATATATCCCATTAGTGATGAAAATATTATAAGACAAAGTTTTGTTTCGATTATCTTATAATGGAAACTTCTGATAAGAAAAAATAATTCGATGCATTTATATTATTTTCGTCATTTATTCCTATGCATGCATATTTTTACAATATTCAAGATGATTGGGACATATTGTCCTAGGAGATTTCTGGGAAAATGGAAAAAATGGAAAACATTAAACTCATAGCACATTTATTTTAATATGTCAGCATGACCAAAAACTGCTTGTCATACCTAAATTTCAATGCTGCAATAGTAGAGTTCGAAGGTTTAAACTAAAAAGTTTATATGGATCAAAAAAAAATAATAAATAAAAAAAAACACATACACACACATTGAAAATTACAGAACAATTTTTCAGGACTTGGGAGGGTTTATATATGAAATGAAACACAAAATTGAATAGTTTAATGAAGAGTAAATGATATTTTTGAAAAAAAATTCAAATTTTCTAAGGGAAAGACATTATTTTAGTCTTATTTAACTATACACTATAAATTTATTTTATCAAATGTTTAAATTTTATTAACCTCAATGAACGAAGGTAACTAAGTAAAAAATCTTAAATGTTTTCAAAATGAATCAAACTAGGATAAAATTTCAGTTATGAAATAGAAATTGCAATACAAATATATTATTTAAAAGAGGCAAACTTACTCAAGAGGATGATTTTTAACACATCTTGTACCCATTCCTTCAGGAGATAAAAGTGACTCAACATATTTTTGAGATATAGGACTCTGGGTGTCTTCATTACTAAAACACACAAAAGCAACAACTTTCAAACAGATGATTGGTATAGATAAACAGATAAAAATAAATTTCAATTGCTGCAACTTACTTTGAATACTTCTTATATTTTGCATTTGAGTGGATTATTTAAGAAAACTATTTGCTTCTTTTTAAAATGTATATCAGGGTGGTTAGCCAAATCTTTCATCAAGAAATAAGCACCTTTTACATACTTTTTAAGAACTCAAAAAATATTTTTAAGCACTATATACATTAACAAAATCCAAAATAATTTTCAAAGACTTTACGTGATCATGAGAAAATAACTAATTTCTGACAAAGAACTCCTTTTGTGATTATATTAGCCGTTATAAAATGATCGAGAGATTTTTTGGTTCAATTTCAGAGGGTGCAAAATGAAGTCTGAAATTGAGAATATCTTTCAAAATTGTGCAGAGTTGCACATGAGAAGGCAATAATCTCACCGAATCCAACTCAGTAGACACACATGTGGACTCCCAAGTATTTCATGAAACATGTAAAATAATTGGTGCTTTCATACGCTATGGACCAATGGTGCACCGAAATGAATCATGAAAACGTTGAATAGAAGAATGTGAAAAGCACACTTTTACATGGCACACATAATACACGGTAAAAATCGACCATAGTAACGAAAAAAATCTCATTTTTGAAAAGGGAAAATTAAGCACTTTTTAAAAACACCCAATGAAAAAAGCACTTACAAGGGTTTTTAAATAAAGGAAATAAAAAATAAGCACCTTTAATCACATTTTAAAAACGCTACGCACCATACATATACATGTTATTGAGAATGACCGAAATTGATGGTTATTGACCTCCACCGGTGAATGTTGACAATCACATAGTCGCTTTGGTAAATGTCCGAAATATATACTAGGTCTAGTTGCCCTACATCAATGTTTTTTTTAAAAAATTTAGTGGCACTGCCAGGCATACATTTACCCGGTTTGTGTCACATCAACGTTTTAAGATGAAAAGCAACTTCCCAGTATGCATTTAACCGGCACACCAAACACTAATGTTTCTCCTAATCTATCCACAGAAAATATTAAAAAAATAAATAAATATAATATCAGCGAATAAATTAAAATCAAATCGGATATAACAAATATTTCGCACAATCTCCAAAGCGACAATGTGACTGATGACATTCACCAGTGAAAAATCAAGATTTTTCTTGATTTCAATCATTCACGGTAATATATATATAGTATATATATTATAAGATTCAAGTATTGATTATTGATGATGATCTAAAGAAGATGCTTTGTATTTATAAAAGTAATTTAATTATTTGGTTGTCAATCACAAAATTTCCATCACCCAGTTTTTTTATCTTAAATATTTATTGTATGTAGATATGAATTTTTTAAGGAATATTTTAAGGGATAAATACCTGAAAAATATATTGTTGGGAGGTCCATAAATCCAGGGTTGAATTTCTAAAGGAGGTTCTTCAACAAGAGGAGGAATAAATAAAGCTAATACTAAAGCCACACAAATAAATCCAGCAGGCATCACAATCTGAAATTTAGGTTTTTTATNGGTAGTTAATGGTATGTAATTTAAATATTTATTTCATGTAGATAGGAATTTTTAAAGGAATATTTTAAGGGATAAATACCTGAAAAATATATTGTTGGGAGGTCCATAAATCCAGGGTTGAATTTCTAAAGGAGGTTCTTCAACAAGAGGAGGAATAAATAAAGCTAATACTAAAGCCACACAAATAAATCCAGCAGGCATCACAATCTGAAATTTAGGTTCTTTATTTAGATCATAAAATCTTTATATTTGAATGACAATTTAAAAGATTACTGTAGACTTATGAATTTACATATATATATAGTATATTATGCACACATATTAATTCATTCCAATTAATGTTATTCTTTTATTAAGTTTTAAAAAAAACACGAGTTTTTCGATATTTCTCTTAGATCAGAGGAGGACCCTTTAAAGATGTTGCTTTTATGCAAATAAATGTTAAATATACAGGGCAGAGGTGGGTCAATACCATTTTTTTGGCATCAGTTTATGTTAAAAGCTTACTCATGCAGCTTAATTTAAGGTTACTAGATACTTTTAAGTGCTTAGTACAAAATATCAGACATGGGCACAGAACAATCTCTAGTCCAGGATGCAAAACAAAATAGAAAATACCTTAATAATTGTTGATATAATGATCAGATTTTAAAAAACTGGATGTAATCTTTACAGTTTATTTATAAAAATATTGAGAGTACTCACAATTTGGAAAATATGGTGCCAACAGTTAGGTCAGGAGAAGAATTGTAGGGGTAGGGGTGGATCCCTCAATGTTAATTTCACTATTCCATACTTTGTAAATGCTTTACGCAAATTGAAAACTTTTTACACATAACTGAAAAACTCCTCCATTCAGAGATAATTTGATGTAAATATTTTTTTCATAATTATTTAATTTACTAACGATCAAAAAGTTATACAAATTATTACAATATTTTAATCATGTAATTCAAAACCTCAAAATCCAAAAGGATTTAGCCAAAATTCTTGAGCAATAAAAAAAAGTGGGATGGGTAAATATGCTAAAAGTAAAATTATCTTTTAAGGGGTTCAAACTTTTGACTGCTATCTTGGTTCAATACCATTTTAACCCACTGGCAGTTAAGGAAATGGGCAAAATTGAGAGAATGTTTCTCCCCTATACACAGTTCTCCTATCCATTAACATGGAAAAACTGGTTTTGCTATGCAGAGAACACTGCAGGTTAAAATGCGATTTTTTACGTGCATAACCGCCAGTGGGTTAAAAAAAAGTTATATATATTCAGAGAAAAAGTATTTTTTGTAATTTAAAATATTGTCTGAATTATTTAATTTCAAAATTTAAGATTCAGATCTAAACTTATTAAGATTGCATCTTAATATCTCAAAATCTGACAATAAAATTAGAAGTATACTATTTTATTTTGTGCACAGTACAACAAAAAATAAAATATACCATGTAAGAAGCTTTTGATCCTTTTTCTAAAATGATGGAATAATTTAAGATAAGCACTTATTTATAGAGACAGATAATTGCTAAAATAAAATAAGGAAAAAACATCGACGGTTAAGAATTAAAAAAAAATATATGTATTTAAAATATATGTATATAAATGTATTTTTACAGACATTTATACATTGTTTATATAATCTGATATATAATAAAGTTAACTAGATGAAAGATTGCTTTAAATAATTAGCAATGTAATGGCTTTTTTTTCAAAAAAATTCCTTTAAGACAATAAATGTTAAAACAATTATCAACAATTCATAAAACAAGCTTTTGGTATTTTTTTTAGAATCAAAGAATCTTTGAAGAACTTCATTTTAAAAACAGCAATTTGTGAAGGGAATAATTATAATAAACAAAAACATTTATATATTTATAATATTTGTTAAAGTAAATAATTACAATAACTGATTTTTGATGCGATAGCTGTCAAAATATAATTTTCTCTTAGAATAACAAATGATGTAATCATCATCTAAAACATTAAAAAAAAATATTTTACATAAAATAGGGGTAATTGTGAGTCCAACTCAAAAAATCCTGAAATTTTCTTGAGCAAAATAATTAACGACGTATTTAAAAAATTTAATGTCTTTATAAATTTAAATCATTAATATTTTCAAAAAATGAAATTGCAAATAAATTATATACATCATAATTTAAATGAATAATTATGTATAAGTTTACTTTTATCTCTAATCACATTTATTATTCTACCAAAAAAATATTTACAAATGAAAGAGATGCCAAGCATAAATTATATTCCTAATATTTTTAAATAAAATATATAAGCATTTTATACATAAATCTGATCGGTGATTTCGTAAAACTTCTGGACTTTGGATTTCCAGAAACTAACAGATTGCAGTTAGCGAAAAATCCGGAATTTTTCCGGAGCACAATCATCTCTGATAAAATAAGTATTTGATTTTTTGTTGTTGATATTTTAATTAAATTATCTCTAAAGGAAGGAAACATTTATGAAAATAATTATTACCAAAAAATATTAGCACATAGGTACAGATAAAAGTAAAAGCTTCTAACTATTTATGTCACAGCTCTGTAATTAGTTTTCCAAGACAAAATAACAGTTTAAAAAATAATTAATTACTTCACAAAATAAGCCTTTGATATTTCTTCTAGAATGATGGAATCTTCGAAGATGGAAAGCAGCCATTTGGCGTTGTACCAATTTAGCTCCAGATATGCGTTTCTCAGAAAGCTCAGGGAAAGGTGGCAAATCTACATGTGTGTTGTTATCACACACTAAAAATAAAATAAGCACTTAGAATTTATTTTATTGCTATTAAAAAGCAGTTTGAGTAGTCAAACACAATTTCTAAGTTTTTTTTTGGTTTTTTTTTGTTTTAGACTAAGGAGAGCTTTTTTTTTTTGTTTAGACAAAAAGCTTTACAACATATGACATTAGGAGCTATTGGGATGCTAAGAAAATAATATAGATTAAGAAACTTAAGATTGGTAAACAATGACATGCAATCTAAATTTAAACCAAAATATTAGTAAATTTTTTTAAGTTTCAATGGAACATTGGGAAGAATTTTTTATAGAAAAAAATAATTCTAAGTCAGTCTTTAAATTCGCATTAATTACATAAAACATGTCAGAAAAAACGTACATTTAAAAGACTTAACTTACTAATTATCCCTGTGACAAAATCGTGGCGAGATTGTAGCAGAACGTTACCGAGTTCTTGCAGAAAGATTTTTCCTTTCCAAAGTAAAACGTTTTCATTTAATTTTCTGCAGAAATTTTCATTCTATAAATTTTTTTATTTAGTTATTGCTATTGATTTACACACAGTTTTTAAACTCCTATATTTTTAATCTGGTATTATTTATTACAACAACTGAATCTTGAAATGAAAGAGCACATTTAGTAACCCCTTTCCGAAGAGTCCAATTCACGTGATTCCGCCTTCGATCTCTTTTTCGGTAGTTAATGGTATGGATTTCATGATTTTTTAATTATTTTTTTTAATGTGATGATGATTTATATAAGGCGAAAAAGGAAAGTATTAGTGTATTTTTCCCCTACCAAATAAGAGAATATCGCCCATTATATTAGAATAAAAAAATATTACACATTCGATTAAAAAAGTTATATGTTATTTTAACCGAAAAGTTTTTTTTAAAAAATTAAGTTGACGTTTTTGTTACTTTAAATTAATTATTTTTCATTAGTACTTTAAATATTAATTAATTAATTAGTAACATGCATATTTGTTCTGAGCATTAGAGAGGCATGTCGCGGAAAGGCAGAAAAAATTCGGCCACAGGGCTAATTGTTTAAACTGAAATGCCAAAACATCCAGTAGTGATTTAATAATTTTAATACTTTTACAACTTTATGTTATTATTTAGCAAATCTAAAAAATAAAATAATATTACTTTTAATTTTTTTTTATAGATATTTTCTGTATTACAGTTTACTATGATGTTTTAATATATTTTTTAAAAATATTACTATGTAGTTGCGATATTTTTAAAATATATTATGTTAAAACATCATAGCTTTATGCAAAGCAGCGTAATATATAAACATGTACTTAAAGATTGACTATGGATTCTATTATGTTCTTAGAAATTCAAATAAGCACAAAATTAAGTTCAGAACAAGTGATGTAATAAAAGGTGGCTTTTTTATTCAAGATAGATAGATAGATAGATATTTAAGGATTAGAAAATAAAAATAATAAGTTATATACCAAATAAGCTCTAAGAAGATAATGATACATGTTCAATTAAAATAAGTGCATATTAGTAGACTAGAAGAAAATTTTTAAATACTTAATTCGAGAGAATAAGTAGAAAAAATTATAAGGAAAAAAACTTACCAACTGAAAATTGAATTAAAAATATATTTTACAGACATAGTTTTAGCTAGAAAAATTAAAACACTGAATTTATATCGCGTGTGAATCATGTTACTTTTGTAAAATTTACAAAACAAAGTTACAATTTAGGAACATATTAAAATAAAATTGAAATTTTTTTAAAGACATCTGCAATGCATATTATTTCCAAAAATAATGTTTAAAATTTATTTGAGTATCAGCAAATTATGCCTAAAATTTGATTTGATAATTTATGCTAACTCTTTTTGAAATTTGGCTTAAAAAATGTTGCAATAACTAAATTTTGTTGGAAGTTAATTCAAAGATAATTTTAAAACAACAAAATGAAACACATTTTAAATGGTATCAAATCACAGAACAAATTAAAATAATAACATAACTGAGGCCGATGACTTTAATTTCAACTAAACCAAATATGGAAGAGATAATTTTATTTATTTAAAAAAATCTCTGATTCAGGCATTTGGAATAGATGAAATTTTTTTTTAAAAATGCTATTGAAAAAAAATTAAAAAAAAATTAATAACCAAAGCATTCAAAATTTCTCAGCTTTTATAGAAATTAAAGAAAATATTTTAGTTCACAGTGACAGTGAAGATTTTGTTTAAATTTATTCAGATTTTGTTTAAATTTGTTGCATTTTGGTAAGGAAAATAAACAACTTTTGCCTTACTTCCTGTACATTTTTGAGAAACAATTTAAGAGGGAATTCCACCATTTATGAAAGTTGTTGTTTTTGCAGATTTTAAAAGCATATAGCTCAATAAACGAGAGAGAATTCTAGCAGTTTAAATAGGTTTATAGAAAATAAGTCTTAGCGTAATACATTTATTCCAATTTTTGGAAACCTTTAGAAAATTGACTGTTAAACTAACTAATTAAAAACTAACTGTCATGGATAAAACATATTGTGCTATGCACATAGCACACAATTTTAACTTTTAAAATAAAGTAAGTGTCATTTAAACTTAGATATATTTTAACAAAAATTATTAGGTAGTATTGATCGACTTTTTTAACTGAGTTATATGCTCTTAAAGTCTGCAAATAAGGATTTCTGAAATGGCAGAATTGCCCATTTATATACTATGTGGCCAAAAATATCCGGACGCCCAGTAGAATGGAATTAGAGCGCCCTGAGTCACATATTAATATGATGCTGGTCTCCATTTTGCATCAATGACAGCTTGAACATGTTTGGGAAGACTTTCCACCAGTTTTTGATACAAGCTGAAGAGTGAGGAAGGTCGATTTGTCCGGCTACGTAATCTGAGCTCTAATTCGTTCCAAAGGTGTTCCATGGGATTTAGATGGGGGATCTAAGAAGGCCAGTCCAGTTTTTGCTGTGCAAGCCTCGTTGTGAGAATGGAGCAGTTATCTTGCTGCAAGAGAAATGGGCCGAAATATTCTCATAGAGTTGGAAGTGCGGCATTGTCCAGAATGTCCACATACAACTCGAGTACATGTTTCCAACCATAGGAACTAACGGACACAGGACGCTCCCACATCATTAAAACTGTGTGTACGGATACTTTGGACCAAATAGTGTATAATAGACCAAGCTGGTTTTTGAAACTAAAGTCATCAAACAAATTGGTTAGATACAACTAATAACAAAAAACAATCTAATGTTAATAAAAATGGTTACTAATGGTAAAGGCACAGAAAATAAGCAATGTTAGAATAGACAATAAACACAAATGGTGCCTATGTATGTGTGTTAGAGATGCTGAAAAAATGAACATGCAATCAGCCGCCAAGAGGAATAATAAAGAAGTAAAAAAAAGGGAAGTTTGTGTTATGAAGGAAGATGAGAAATTCCAAAAGTTTTGTCCCAAGCAGAGAATACAGGGGTGTTTCCTAAAGAAAATAACTCACCGTTTCCACCCGTCAGGCTTTCCCTTACAGCTGCAACAATGCAAAACGACATAAAATGCATTAGTGCGACATGCACTCTACAGTGACAATAAAGCTTTACTAACATACAGAGCACAGAAGTTCAGGCACTAAAAAACCATGAAAATAGAGAGATAAAATGGTACCTAAAAGGGTTGCCACTCAAATCTGGAGATAAAATTCCCTGTATATATTACAGGATGTGTAGCCAAATTATTTAACGAAAAATAAGCACCTTTTAAGCACTTTAAAACAATGTGAGCTGTGTCTTTTTGCATAATTCGAAGCTAAAATCAACATAGTAAAGGAAAAATCTCATTTTGAAAAAGGGGAAATTAAGCACCTTTTAAAAATACCCAATGAAAAAAGGCACCTATAAGGGCTTTTAAAAACAAAAATCGAAAATAAGCACTTTTTAAAACGCTACGCATCCTGTATTATACACAATATATTAAGAGGAAATACGCAATCACTGAGACTATATTAGTCTATTTATACTAGTTTTAATTGGAAGAAAAAGTTAAAGAAATAAGGAACAGATTAACATACTTCATACAAATAATGCTATAGTAAATTAAATAGTTTAGTACAGTTGAAATATCATCCTTAAATATTCTCACAGATAGTGTTTTGAAAGGTCACCACTTAGAAAAAAAGAAATATAATTCCCTGTATCCTGTGAAGGGAAAAATTAAAGTTCCCTGCATTTTCCCTGTTATTTTAGGTGATTTTTATAAATTCCCTGTATTTTCCAGGTTTTCCCTATTCTTCCTGTGGAGTGGCAACCCTGATAAATAGCTCTAGACAAGTACCCTCTCAAGGATAAACAGAAAATAAAGCACTGCAAAAAATTTAATGCAATTCCTTTGCAATTGCATATTATTTTCAGAATTAATAAAATGACAAGTATTAATTTGAAGTTGAGGAGGTTTCTCTTTTATTGGGGTACGGTTATCTGATTGTTTACGTAAAGGAAATTTTCCTGTTTTAAACTTTTTAACTAAAAGATTATGTTTTTTCAGAAGTTCAAAGAAATTTCTAATTTCTAAAAATTAAACATATTAGATTATGACATAATTGTATGGAAAATTACACTTTTTCACAAGTTGAATTTAAAAAAAAAATGTTTTAAAATGAAGCATTTTATCATTTTTGTAAATATCTAAGCTAAAGATTAACTCCCAGAGAAACCACCATTAATTGGTATGTTATATAGGATAATATTTATTTTCATACATAACAATTTAATGAAGTAATAATTATTTTAATTGATTACATATAAATTATGTATAATTAAAAATATTTAAATTTTGTATATTCAATAATTTTTTTTCAAATCTTTTTAATTACATTCAAATAAAATATTTAATTGCATGACTTTGGATTTAATTGATTAAATTAATTAGTAGCTAAATTTATAAAATTTTTGAAGCAAAAAATCAATCAATATTTTATGTGTCAGTTTTGCAAAGCTACCACAACAATCTTACTTTTCTTTCAAATAAATAACTTTTATAAACAAATGTTACTATAGTGGAATAGGAAAATATATATATATATAAGAAAAAAAATGAATATTTATTTTTACTTTCTTAAGAAAATTATTATTTTACATCCAATAGAAAGAAGATTAAGTTAAAAAAAAGTTCTCTAAAAACTATATTTATATGAGATGTTCAATCAGTTAAAAAAAAAAAAACGACCTAAATCAACATATCAAACATAATTTTTATTAAAAAAAGAAAACACTAAAAAAAATTTTTTTGTTTCTTCTTTCTTCTAAAATATATTTTGAAAGTTTGTTTGCTTAAAATAAAACAAATGATTTAACTAAAAAAAATGCATTATTAAATCATAATTTCGGTTGATCATTTTAAATTCAGTTATCAGTTTAGCTATGCTTTTAAGATGGTTTGAATAATTAATTAAAAATAGATTTTAAAATATGTTGGTTTCCTCTTACAAATGCTTAATGTATTAGCAAGCATTAACAATCAGTGGTTGCTTTATATTAATGGTATGTTTCAAAATTAATATTGAAGGGGGGGGGGAAAACAGAAAGATGACCAGGACTTCTGCGCTCTATTTCATAACAATAACATAAAACAAAAATTACAGCACTTTTTTAGACAGCACAGAGGAACGAACATTACTCCATATTGTAAAATCTTCAAATTACTAATTAATAATCACATATAAATGCATTTAATTAATAATTATGCACCTAAATAATTACGAATAACTTTTAAATCAAAATCATAAATCGTTTAAAACCAAACCAAGAACTTTAGCGAATGCTTAAAAATGTCCAATTCGAGTTATAAATTATTTTAATAAATGGAGTCAACTTATGTATTGAAAATTCAATCCTACTTTTACTTAATTATAATATTTTAATTAAGAAAGATTATCCATATTAATTTAATTGCTGTTCTGAAAAAAAAAACAGAATATTAACTGAAATGTAGAAGTTATGTCATCCTATCACATGACATTTAAAAAAAAGCATGGATTCTTACATTAATGTTGCATGTTGTTTCATAAGTTTTAAAACCTTTATTTAAAAAAAAATTATAATTTACCCTATTAAATATGATTTTTTTATAATAAATATAGTGAAATAAACACAAAAAATTGTACATTAATAACTGATAAACTAAATTTTTAATATTAATGAATATTATTTTCATATTTAAATAACATATAGGTTAAATTTTTTGAAGCAAGTAAAAAAAAAATTAGATGTTAAAAATATGATAGTTATCAGCTAAAAATTAAATAAAAATTACAGAATTTAAAATTCAATACACATTTTTTCATAAATTTCCCCTATTTTCAGGACTTTTTGGACTGTCTTAATCTAGAGTTGGCAGCTACGGTAATCGGAAGTTTAATAGGATTTTTTCAGGAACTTTTACAGTTTTAGAGATTTTTCTAAAACTTTCTAAATTCAAAAATCTTTCGGAATCACATATAGGTTAGAACTTTAAAAGTATAAAAAAATTAAAAATGGTAAAAAATATAATAGTTCTTAGTTAATAGTTCACAATATAATAGTTCTCAAAAATCTAAAATTTCATACAAATTCCTTATAAACTTTCCCGATTTTCAAAAATTTTGATGAAATCAAAAAGCTTAGGAAAAAGTGGCAAAATCTAGTTGAGTTAGCAGCTATATTAATCAAAAATTTTATAGGATTTTCACGGAAACTTTCCAATTTCAAGGAATTTATTTTTATTTTTCCCAAATTTAAAAAAGGGGTTTTGATTAAATCAAAAGCCCATAAAAAACTAGCAATTCCATTAGAATTTACATCTATGCTCAAGCTTCTAATGAATAAAAAACGCAGTGAGGTCTAAAACTTTTTCGACTTAGGAACTATAAAACTGCTTAAGCAAATAAGCTAATAATATTACAGCATCTAAAGCAAAACAGTATGAATCACTACTTAGCAAAAGTTCTAATATAAATCATTTAAGCATAAAATGTTTTATTTCTTACCTGTTTCTTCAGAAGTCATGGCAATATTTTTATCACTGATTTCTTTACCAAAGAACCTAGCAATACTGTGAAGTTTTAGGTGTAATAATGTGCTTCTGAAACTGAACCATTTGCTCTTCTCTTTATCCATGTTTTGAGCAAGTTCATCTACAAACAATGATTTCTATTAGCACAAAGCTGTTTCATGTGTAGAACAGGTAATGTAAAATTTTAATTGAAAAGTTTAAGGTAAAAAAAAAATTGATAAAAGGGTTGGAAAAAAAAAAAAAAAAAAAAAAAAAAAAAAAAAAAAAAAAAAAAAAACAGAAAACAAGTAGTTAAAAACAAATCAGTTAGTTACTTCAAATATATTTTGATTTTAATCATTTTCTCAAAATGATAGTTCAGACAAATGATTAATGACAATAACATGTTATGTAAAATTTTAATTGAAAAGTTTAGGGCTAAAAAAAAGTGATAAAAGGGTTAAAATAGAGATTTAAAAAAACTAAAAAAATGTAGTTAAAAACAAATCAGTTAGCTACTTCAAATATATTTTGAGTTTAATCATTTTCTCAAAATGATAGTCTTGATTTTCAATGATAGTTCTGACAAATGATTAATGACGATAACATGTTATATAAAATTTTAATTGAAAAGTTTAGGGTTAAAAAAAGTGATAAAAGGGTTAAAATAGAGATTTAAAATAAACTGAAAAACAAGTAGTTAAAAACAAGTCAGTTAGATAATTCAAATATATTTTGATTTTAATTACTTTCTCAAAATGATAGTTCTGATTTTAAATGATAGTTCTGACAAATGATTAATGACAATAACATGTTATATAAAATTTTAATTGAAAAGTTTAGGGTTAAAATAGAGATTTAAAATAAATAAAAAAAACAAGTAGTTAAAAACAAATCAGTTAGCTACTTTAAATATATTTTGATTTTAATTACTTTCTCAAAATGATAGTTCTGATTTTAAATGATAGTTCCTACAAATGATTAACGAAAATTTTGTTCTATTTACCCTCAGGCGTAGCTTCATCTTCGGGTTCAACAATTCCAGCTTCTCCAGTGACTTTCAAGAAAACCTATTCAATGAAAAAGAGATTGTGAATTCAGAGACTGACGCTAATAACATCAGCCATTTTTTTATATGCAAAAATCATCCTTTAACAAAAACTCGATTTCTGTTCTATGAAATCAACAAAGAAAAATTGTTGAATACCCATCCACATTCACTAATCATCACTCACTCACTGACTGAGAAATACTGAAGTAGCTGTGGTCCGGGTCACCAATTAAAAAGGTAACTCAAGATAGAATCGAGTTAACACGTCTTAGATACTAGTGAACTGATGTTTAATAATTGTAGTGATAGTTACCTTACGATACTTCTCCACCAGAATTTTATCAGGGATTGAATTAGATGAATGAATACCGCTAGTTACCGTATTTGCGAAAGACTGGAACTCTATTAAGTTCACCAAATTTCGAGCACTTGCCCTGAGAGCTGTATTAAGTTCACAGTTGTGTGTGTAATCGCTATTAACAGTCGAGTTTGTACGGGATCTCGTTGTGTACACATGAGACTGAGAAGCAACAGTGCGAGAACAACAATGACGAAGTCACAAATAGCAAGTCAACTGTTCTATGTGGATCATGCATTGAAGTAGGCATGAACATATCACATCCGAGTCACCAATGTGGTGATGGTGTTATCGATAAAGTCAACCCTCATCTATCAAAAAGTACCCCAAAATAGAATCGAGTTAGCACGTTTTATATACTAGTGAATTGATGTTTAATAATCGTAGTGGTAGTTACACTACACAGCCACAACAAGTTTTAAATAAAAAGCAGATTGCAAGTTTTAAAGAGCAGATTGAACATCTTACAAGTTTTATGAGGTAATGCACAACCGAAAGACATCTGTTATGCAAGTTATTTTTATTAAACTAAAAAGAAGTGAGCAAGACGAACAATTTTGTACAGCGGAATGAGATTTAGTTGAAGGGCATAATGGAAGCCTACCTCTTCGAGTGAAGTGTCGGATATGCCGTAACTGCTGATATGTAATTCGTCCAGATTGCCGTCCATTGCTTTGAAAAGTCTCTGCAACTCTCCAGATCTCTGCGCAGAGGGAGGTATTAGATAAGATACTTCAGAACCAACATCTTCCATCAACTTTGCATCAGGTACGTGGTTATGAATGAACCGTGTCAATTGCGATATGATACAAGAACCACCTAAGAAAGTTAAAAAAATAAACACAATGATGCATTTAACAGATTTTAGGGCAATAGATAAAAAATCACTATCCAGATTATTTTTTTCAGTACACACGAAATGCTTACATTTTTGCTTATAGCACACCTATAACACCTGTAATTCTGATTCATAATTCAGGGTGGGTAGTCAAATCTTTCAACAAAAACAAGCATCCTTTAAGTACTTTTTAAGTATTCCAAAAATATCTTAAGCACTATATACATTAACAAAATGCAAAATAGTTTTCAAAGTCTTCATGTGATGATAAAACAACTAGTTTCTGACAAAGAACTCTTTTCTTGGTTATAATAGCCATTATAAAAAGATCAAGAGATTTTTCGGTTTTATATCAGATGGTCAAAAATGAAACCTGACAATAATCTCATCAAACACAGCTCAGCAGACGCACATGCAAACTCTCAAGTATTTCATCAAACCTGTAAAATGATGGGCGCTTTCATACGCTATGAACCTTGAATGCTGAAATGGATTGTGGAAACATTGAAAAGAACAATGTGAAAAGGTTGCTTTTGCATAATATGTGGCAAAATTCAACATGGTAAAGAAAAAAAAATCTCATTTTTGGAAAGGTAAAATGAAGCACTTTTTAAAATCAATGAAAGAAGCACCTTTAAGGGCTTTTAAAAAACGAAAATAAGCATCTTTAAGCACTTTTTGAAAATGCTATGCACCGTTACATAAACGCGGGTACCAATTAAGGTTCACGTCTGATCAAAAACAGGAACCCAAACTAAGCATCTACTTTCTCTTGTGCGGAATGCTTTCGTTCATTTAATCCATTTATCACGAAGTTAATTTGTAGTTTTAAACACAAGGCTATACATTAGGTAAAATTTTGAAAAGCCCACCCACCTACAAAAAAAAGTCTTACAAATTAAATTGCTTTTATAGTAAGTTAAATGAATTTCTTTTCGTAAAACAATCTCCATCCAAAAAAATATTTTAACATAACGTTTCTAGAAAGAAGTGCCCCCCATAAAGTGGTTAGACTTAGAGGATGGGAGGATTAAGGACATTTCCCTTTCCTGTTACTATTGTCATTGTAGAAAGATCAATTGAAAGAATTTCATATTTCAACACTACATCTTGAATTCTTAAACACATCGTAGTTAATATTTAAAAAAATTTTAGACAGCTTTAGCACTAAACTAACTCTAATAGCAATTAGCAAATGATACACCTGAATTAGTACTTGGTGGTTTTAAAATGAATGATTAAGTACTGAGTATAAGATCGAAATAAAAAAAATAGTGAGTTTTTAAGAGTACACTTTTGAACTTGCTTGAAATATAACGAATAAAAGAAACACTAAGCTAAAAATTGAAATGATAAGAAATTAGACACTCACCCCAAGGAGAACTGGATGTGGAATTAAATCCATTGTCAGACAGAACATTGTTTTCAGATAAATCTGATTTTGAATCTACTGTAGACATGTCTGCTACACCCTCATCGGTCATTTCCTAGAAAAGAAGATATACGTCCAAGTCATGCCATATTGGTAAGGGTTACAATGAACTGGGAACTAAGTAATCCGTAAGTATAAATTATTTTTTATCTTTTAAATTATATTTCCTAGAAAAACGGATCTGTTTTACGGAAAATATTGAAGTCTGATTTTATATCAATGCCAATACAATGAAATAAGGTTATAAAGGCTTCCTCACAATTGCAGAGTTCCTGGTTATGGCATGGAAACTGGCTACATGCTAGTAACAATGTGATTAGCTGAAAGTAAAAATTTATAAATAAAAAGAGAACTAAACAAAGTTTTCCCATAGGTTTAATATGAAATGCATTGACAAGGTCTGAAAAAAACCCTGAAATATTATGTTTTTATTTTCTTGCGAATAATGAATTCTAAACGAATTTTAACCAATTTCTAAAATGAAATTTTGCTATTGAAAGTATCTATTAAACACAATAAAATATTTTGTAAAATACAGCTGGAGTATTTTTTATTGTTAAATAAATAATATTGTAAAATACCCTGATTTAATGCAACTCTAATCTGAATAATTTTAAAGCCGCCTAATAGTTTATGGTGTTTTGGGTAGTGGAACTAATGTGCAACAGAAGTGGATGCAGCATTCAGGGTTCCCACTCACATTTTTTTTAAAAATTCAAGGACTTTTCAATAACTTTCAAGGACCTAAAATCAAATTTTCAAGATCCTATTCAGTAATATAGTTAGGAGGCTAAAATACATGTAAACTAGATTTTATAATTACATCGAAGCAGAAATAGCATATTTTTAAAAGTACAATGCTTAGTTGACAAAAAAAAAATTTATTCATTAAATTTATCAAGTTTACATTGTTTAATAGTTGTGATTGTTTAATATGCATAGCCTACAGCTACCAATGCAAATGTCTGATAGTTATTAGATGATATATATTATTAATTGCAGATAGTTATATGGAGATTAGAATATTGCTGTTTCAAATATCTTTCAAGACTATAAAAAAAAAATTCCAATTGACATTGGATACTTGTTAACTTTTAAAAACTGGCATCAGATAGTGAAACTTTTCATGAAATTAAATTAGCAAATTGCATGAAACCAGTGATTAATACTAGACATGGCTTGTTTCAATATTTTTTTTCTCACAATTGATTTCTCCCATGTTTACTTGTATTTTGTCATCCAATCATAATCATAGGAGAAGTAAATAAATATATGGGTCTTGAACTCTCAGTTTTCTGACCCTAACTATTCTTCAGAAAATGGCAAATGGATAATGAAGGAAGAACAATGATTTCAATTTCTATAAATTCAGCTAGAATTTTTTTGTGCTTTTTGTAAGTCATTTTAATTTCCAGAAAATCAAATACTTTTCAAGTACCCTATCACAGAATTCAAGGACTTTTCAGAGCCCCTGTTTTTCCCAACAAAATTCAAGGACTTTGAAGTACCGTGGGAACCCTGATATTTAGCTTTACCATGGAAACAAAAATTTGCAAATAAAAATATAAAGTCACAGGCTTAAAAATTTTCCATTGTATTGCTGATCAATACATAGGTTAATGCTATTGGTGTAATACTTAATGTATCTTCCAAATTTTTCGAACAAGTTTTAAATTAATTTTCTTTAAAATTACAGCACTAGTATATAATTTGTCTATGTAAGTAAGTGCTTGCCTTTGTAATTTATTTTTTAATATGGGTGACGAGGGGCGATCAGAAACTTTGCTGTCAACCAAATATGGGTGACATGTCAGTGAACGCATTAAACTATGCTCAATGGTTGAAAAAAATACCTTACATATTTTTCCACGGAGTTCTACTTACACTAGTGCTTTTGGTGGTAGAGTTATCTTTCACTGTACTCGAAGATCCCCTGCTGTTTCTCTGAGAGAGATTGTAATCACATGATTTTACCAGAGTCAAGTAATATCCGTTGCCAAACCGGGTTTTCAAAAACAGAGAGGATCCACAACACCTCAACTTCCCATTGTTTATAACTGCTATTCGATCACCCAGTAAATCAGCTTCATCCATGTGGTGAGTAGTTAATATGACTGTACGACCTGCATAAGATAATGAGAAAAAAAATAATTAACCTCCTTTATATGTATTTTAAAATATTCTAATAAGGAAAAAAAACAGCAATAAACTTATTTTTAAAGAAAAACATTTGTATAGTGTGCAACATAAAAAACAGACCACACTGAATAACCTATGCCAAGATTAAGACAAAACTATTCACCCCACACTCCTATTCAAAGTGACTTTTCCTCGCAACCATAGTCCCCGCCACGATGAGAGACTGATGCCTGGAAGAGTTCTCCTGAAAGCTGCACTATATTCAATACGGCAAGACTCTATTTGAATTGTGTTTATTTTCATTATTTTATCACGTTTTTTATGAATTAAATAAATTTTCTAATTGTTTTGCAACTCATTTAATTCTTAAGAATGATTAATTAAAGGGGTTTTAACCCTCAAAACCCATTCCTATCTCTCCCTACTAGTAAGCAATTTTTGGACCCCTTCGAGAAATCATAAGATAAAAGTGGATTTTGGGTTAAAAAACTTGATCTTTGATGGATCTGGTTAATTGGACAATTCAGTTTATTATTGGCGTCTATATACGTGGTGGGCCGGGATAGCCTAGTTGGCAGGGCGCCAGATCTGTGTATGAATGAATGGTTGTATGAATAGGATCGCCCTGTAAACTGGTGTGATGTATGGGTGTGGCAGAAGTTGAGTTCTTGGTCATAGATGGTGCCACTGGAAAATAAGAACAATCATATCCATTGCCTTAATGGCCAACGACAACAGGAACAACCTGAATTACTTTTTCAGTGGTGATGAATTATAGTAGGCATTAATAAAACGAACAGAACTTTTATGAAACTTTTAACACAGTCACTATAAGTCAATTTGTTCTTATCTTTAAGGTGGGGTGCATTTTCCTCTTTCCCAGCCGTATTTAATTTATTTTAAATGCACAACTTTATAATCACATAAAATAACAAATAAGAGAAACTATAATTAATGGAAACGGATAGGGAGGGATTTTTTGGATGGAGGGTCATTTTTTAAAAAATATTTTTAGAAAAGGTGATAACATCAATAGGAATTTTTATTTAGTTGTGATAATATAAAACATTTATAAGAAAGTTTTTATTAAATTTCTTTCTGAGAATAATACTTACTGGAAAACAAGAACAAGAACCCATTGACTTAATGGTTTACGACAACAACATATAAATTGTGCTGTAAAATGCTTTGTCTTGTTTCAAAAATATGTTATTATCAATAATATAACAAACCTCCTAGATAAATAGTTAGAGATTAATAAAAAATACATAAAGCTAAAAAAATCACATAATGCATTACCTGACTTGTATTTCAAAAGCAATTCCCAAATGGATCTCCTGGCGTAGGGATCTACACCAGCCGTAGGCTCATCTAAAATAACGGTTTGAGATCCACCTACAAATGCTATACCAATTGATAATTTTCTTTGCATGCCACCTGAAAATTAAGATAAAATACCACAGTTTCATTTATGCACATTAACTATTACTCAAATAATTGCTACCAAGAAAAATGATACATTAGAAAAAGTTTAATAATTCGTCTCACTTAAAAGTCTTTACATTTGCATTGGCGTAAACATGGATAGGAAAAAATCCAGTAGATTTTACAAAATAAAATACAAATTTCATGAATACATAGTAATACAGAAATAAAAATTTAAAAAAAACAGATGCTTACCAGAGAGATTTTTTGAATATTCATTTGTTTTTGGTTTCAGGTTCATGTCCTTAATCATTTCTTCCGCTTCCTCAGAAACTTCTTCGTCTCTGGCTCCTTTCAACCGAGCATAAAACCACAAATGCTCAAAAACAGTCAAACTAGTAAATTATAAAGAAATATCCAGATTAATTTTATGTCAAGCCGATTATTCATGAGACAATTATATTTCTATTTCATTTCAAGCATATTATTAACATGAGAAAAGACACACAAGTTTCTAACACAAAATCTAGCAATTGTTAAAAAAAAAAAAAAAAAAAAAACACTGAATAAATTTTATTAAGAAGAATTAAACATAAGTTAGAAGAAAAAAAAATTAAGTTAATGCTCTCATTCGAAATTAAAACAGAATTATTGGTATGAACAAGAAAAATAATAACTTTAATAAGTCTAGAAGATTAAGATAAGTCTAGAAGTCTTTGAAGATAAGTGTAGAAGATCTAATAGATCTAAAAATAATAAGTCTAGAAGATTTGTTCTGAGAAACAAAACACATGAAAGTAGAAAATTTGTCTTGAATCCTGAGTTAAATTGCAGGGGTCTGTCTAGGTTTTTTGAGAGGTTCCTATTTTATGAAAATTAAAAATTATATTAAAAAATCAACAAAAAAATATAGTAAAGTAAGAAAATATTTTCACAAATTAGAAAATATTTCATATGTTCACTACAAAAAAATCATTTGTGACTGATAAATTTCTATATATTTTTCCTCATTTATTCAAAAATAATTTTGCTATAGAAACATTTTGGCCTTAAAATTGTATCCAAATTTAAAAATCAATAAAAATCCTTGTCCATAGTTAAATTTCAACTTGAATTTAATAAAAACATGCATTTAACAGTACTAGCACTAAAAGTTATGTTTAAGATAATGTTCAAATGTTTAGAATAATGTTAAAATTTCGACTTCCTGTACAGTTATGGCATAAGCGACCTGTTAGGCTTACCACATTGCACTATCTGACCCAACACATGCTACCTTTTTGTAGAAGACAGCTTGCGGAAAAGCTCCTCTTTTCAATAGATTGCAACAATAATGGGGTTTGTAATGAGAGCTTGTTTTCTTAAAAATATTTTGTGAAATTACCTTTTTTCCTAAAGTTGAATTTATGAAGGTACCGCTAAACGGTAGTAAATTCACCTTGGACAGACCCCTGAATTGTTAACACGTATCATAGGATATCCAATCAGAGTATCTGATAAAGTTCTGCATTAAAATTTAGTGACTTTTCCATGTTTTCCAGATTTATATGCTAAATTTGCCAAGTTTCATAAATAACATTTTGACTAAATCTATTTTTCTAATGAGGTTTGTAATAAATCCCCATAAAGTAAATCAAAGCAATTTCTAGGTTATAAGTAAAAAGCAAAAACATTTTTTTTAAAAAAGCATGTAGTATTGCATTTTTTTTATATATTTTGCATGAAGTAATTTTAAAGAGGAAAACATTGTTTTAGTTTAATATTTTAAAATTAATAGTAGGGTATTTTATACATTTTTCAAGTTATTTTTTGCCCTTTTAAGAACATTTATAGGAATTTTTAAGATCATCAAATTCCAGGCTCTAGTTATACAAAAAGATTAGAGTGCACAAAAATAAATAAACAAGGAAATTTTCTCTTGGTATAAAAAAAAATGCAAGAAGTAAAATTGCATTAAGAAAATTAAAATTTCTTTGAGTTAGAAATTTATCCTGATACATTTTGTATACAACTAATTTAGCAAATTTTAAGCTTAAAGAATTATGATAAAATTTAATCAAAAAAAGAATATTTAAAATGTGTACTAACAGCCTTGATAAAAATAATACAATCATGTGTTTTTATCAAGAAATTTATGTCAAATAAAAATTATAATATGGCCAAGCCTAAATTCTGCTATTCTCAATTACATTCATTGCGCAATGCCTCTTAGAAAAAAAATAATGAGATACAATTTTAATGCAACATTTTCAGCTATTCTATGGAGACTTCTACAAATTTATAACTATCGCCTAATTTGGTTTATTATCTAACAATTAAAACTGAATATTTTTAATCAAAGAGCTAAATTTATTTTAAATGAAACTAAAAATTTGAAACAGTTTTACTGATTATAAATTGCTTATTAGATTAAAAATAGTTTTAAAAATAAATAGACGAAAAAGATTGACTCAGATCTATCATATTATAGATTTTATTTACACTTAAAAAAATAGCAAGTAAGTAGCCCGTAATTTGATAATGTGATACAATTTGCCCTTAGAAAATTTCAAAACAAAATTTTATCCAGCAATTTTTTTTCTTTTTTAATATTATTCAAAAGTCCAAAACATTCTAATGCAACAAATAGGATAGAACTATAATTTTGTGCAGTTCTTCAGTTCAAATGGTATAAGTTAATAATTATTAATTGAGTTTTTTTACTTAAATCTGGCAGTGGAGAAAATTCTGAAGTATCTAAGAAAAATCCAGAGTTTTCACTTAATATCCCTTCAGTTACCAAATAGATAGAGTCAACCCCTATAAAACAGTTAAGTTTGTATAAAATAAAGAAAAAAGACTTACTCCTCAAATAGAACATTATGCTGAGGGCAAGTTCCTAAACTTCGTCGAATACAATCCATGTCTGCTCGAATATCATGGCCATAAATCTTAGCAGTTCCAGTCGTAGCAGGAAACATCCCAGTCAATATTGATCTTAAAGCAAACAATAGCGCCAATTAAATAAAATTAATAATTTAATGAAAGCATTTTTTTAAGCTTCGTTAACTATTATATTTCTAGTTATTTTATAACACACTACTTTCAACTGTTCATCATATTTTTTATGATGGATAGCTTTAAAATACACACAACAGCATAATTATTCCATTTTAAACGTCAATATTCCTTTCATCAGCTATTAAACAAATTAAACACTCAGTTGTGAATAATTACTTTTAAAGCCTTCAGTATGAAATTTGTAAATTAATCAAGTTGCGCAGCCAAATCTTACAACAAAAAATAAGCATCTTTTAAGAACTTTTCAAGCACTCAAAAAATATTTTTAAGTACTATAGAATTTAACAAAATGCAAAATAATTTTCAGACTTTACATGGTCATGATAACATAACTAGTTTCTGACAAAGATCTCTTTTCTTGATTATATTATCTTCTTGATTGTATTGATTCTTGATTATAATGAAGCCTGAAATTGAGAATATCTTGCAAAATGCAGCAGAGTTGCACAGGAGAGTGCAATTATCTCATTGAACCCAGCTTTGTAGACCCACATGCGGAGTCACAAGTATTACATCAAACAAGTAAAATGGTTGGCGCTTTCATACGCTACGGACCGACGGTAAGCCAAAATAGATTATTGTTGAAAGAATTGTGAAAACGTCCAACAATGTGAGAAGCACACTTTTAAATAATGCGTGGCAAAAATCTACATGATAAAGAAAAAAATCTCATTTTCAAAAAGGGAAAATTAAGCACTTTATTAAAACGCTACACACCATGTTAACATATGGCAATATAAATACAAATTAAACACTCAGTAGTGAATGAATTATAGATTTTAAAAACTTGAGTATGAAATTTGTAAATTAGTATATTGCAATATAAAGGTGATGGTAAAAAAAGACTAGTGACTTCAACTTACATGGTTGTTGTCTTTCCTGCTCCATTGTGTCCCAAAAATGATGTGATCTGACCTTCGTAGAAATTCACACTAAGATCATCCACTGCCAGCTTCTTGTTGGAATATATTTTGGTCAAATGATGAATGGACACACCCAGTTTCAGATCATTCGGTTCTTGTTCAAAATCTACATTACCACCTAGAAGAAAAAGAAATTACTAGCTACTTTTTTCAAAAAAATAAAATATGGTAGAATATCGAATCATCAAATTACAGACAGAAGAAAAATAAAAGGTGTGGACAAAATTTAAAGTCAAGGCTTCTTGAATGTTTTTATGAAAATTTTCACATCACTTGTAAAAAATAAATAAAAAATCTATAATAGATGTAATAGACAGCTTTTAATCTAATGATAAAATTTCCATGCACTAAGATGCAATCTTAATAGTCCAACGGATACATTTTAAATGTAATAAATAATTATAATGTTGCTTTGACAATAGCAAAATCAAACATCCCTTTTTTTGGATTTCACATATTTTATTTTATAATAGCCGGCAAAATTTTTGGGTTTACAACTACTAATGTTCAATTACGTAGCCTTGTAATTTTGAATCCAATCCAGAAGATAAGGGAACTACTGGTTCAAGTTTTGGGAGAAATTTGCCTTTGTGGAGGACTTTTTGATGGAAGTAGCCTGCATTTGTATTACATGGAGAGGAAAACCTCCCACGGTTAGCCCGACAACAAGGAGATTCTAACATACTGACTTTCACATATTGAAGGCAGTCATGTTCTGGAAAGTTTAGTCAGATGAACCAATTGTAAATATTTAAATTTCTCAATGCAAATTTAACTTTCGGCATGATTCAGCATATTTCTAGAAATACGCAGAAACCCTTTTGCAAGCAATTATAAAACTTGTTCAACTCAAGATAATTCCATCCAAACACAATTTCGGACAATTATAAATTATTGAGTCGAAATTTTTTGTTAATTCGTAAATTCATAATCCTCAGAGTATTTAAATTTTACAAAAATGTTTTGAGTTAAACTTAGAGAGTTCGTTAACTTAACAGGTTTTTCTGTTCATGACTTTTTCTACACATTCACAGAGCAATTATCTGAGTAAAATATCAACAGAATTTATACTGCAAAATTTACTGTAAAGACCACCAATCAGAATTTAATAAAGACATGTTGATTACTAAAAGTTAAAACTTAAAAGTTTTGATGTAAAGAAATAATAGATCCTTTAATTTATAAAAAGTGAAAATAACAGAAAATTGACTTCTTTTTCAGGGTGCGTAGCCAAGTATTTCAACAAAAAACAAGCACCTTTCAGTACTTTTTAAGCATGCAAAAATATTTTTAAGCACTATATACCATAACAAAATGCAAACATGATTTTACATAATCATGATGAAACAACTAGTTTCTGACAAAGAACCCTTTTCTTGATTATATTATCCATTACAAAATTATTAAGAGATTTTTTGGTTCAATTTCAGAGGGTGGTAAATGAAGCCTAAAATTGAGAATATCTTGCAAAATGCAGCAGAGTTGCACGCGAAAGTGAAATAATCTCACCGAACCCAGCTCAGAATATGCACACGCGGATTCATAAATATTTCATCAAACATGCAAAATGATCGGCGTTTTTATATGCCATGAACCAACGGTGCACTGAAATAGATAGTGGTTCAATGAATAGTGAATAACATTGAATAGAACAATGTGAAAAGCAGGCTTTTGCATAATACGTGGCGAAAATCGACATGGTAGAGAAAAAAATCTAATTTTCGAAAAGGGAAAATTAAGCACTTTTTAAAAACACCCAATGAAAAAAGCACTTTAAGGGCTTTTAGAAACCGAAAATAAGCACTTTTTAAAAGCATTACACATCATGTTCTTTTAANAGATTTTTTGGTTCAATTTCAGAGGGTGAAAAATGAAGGCTGAAATTGAGAATATCTTGCAAAATGCAGCAGAGTTGCACGCGAGAGTGCAATAATCTCACCGAATCCAGCTCAGTATATGCACATGCAGACTCAGAAACATTTAATCCAACATGCAAAATGATTGGCGTTTTTATATGTCATGAGCACCGAAATAGATAGTGGTTCAATGAATAGTGAATAACATTGAATAGAACAATGTGAAAAGCATGCTTTTGCATAATACGTGGCGAAAATCGACATGGTAGAGAAAAAAAATCTAATTTTCAAAAAGGGAAAATTAAGCACTTTTTAAAAACACCCAATGAAAAAAACACTTTAAGGGCTTTTAGAAACCGAAAATAAGCACTTTTCAAAAGCATTACACATCATGTTTTTTTTAATAATTAGTTAATAAAATAACATTTTCATATGTTCTTCTAAAACAAAGACTATTTTTTATACAAACTTACTAAAGTTGGATCTTGCTTCTATATCTGTCACTGGTGCTTCTTTCAGTTCCGTACCACACCAGTAAGATTTAGTGACAAAGAAATACCATGATTTTGGAACGCCATACTGACCTGAAAAATTACAATTTCATTAACCAATTGATTCTCTTAAAATGAAAAGGAATTAATATAGAATCTATTCAATGATTTGCATAGTAACAGCTCCTTCCAGTTCTTACAATTACCACCCAAAATTTCTTATCAACTCTGAGAAACCTCACATTGTTTCTCTATCTATGTACTGTAGCCTTGTAATCTTGAACCCAATCCAGAAGACAGTGGAACTCCTGGATCATGTGTTGGGAGAAATTTGGCCTTCGTGGAGGACTTTTTGATGTAACTAAACCATATTTGCATTATATGGAGAGGAAAACAATGAAATTCTCACTGTTAGCCTGACTGCAAGGGGACTCTAAACCCGTGATTTGTCTACCACTGAAGATATTTTATGTCAGCACTGTGGTCGGTGCAAGCCGGATGAGGAATGTGGGGATTTATTTTAAGACTATGCCAACCTTCTTCTATCAAAAGGTACCTCATGATAGAATCAAGTTAACATGTCTTATATACTAGTGAATTGGTATTTAATATTTATAGTGGTAGTTCCACAGGAATTCGTATCGACCAGCCATCGCTGGGATTCGAAACCTGTTCACCTCATTGGAAGGTGAACGCTCTATCCCCTGAGAAATCACGGCTCTGGGAGAGATGCATTGTCCAGAAAATCCACATGCATGTCAGAGTTCATACTTCGTCACAAGNACTAGTTTATATGATTTGAATTTGGTTTTAGCTGCCTTGAGCGCTATTCCAATTTGAATTAATGTATTTAAGGTTGTTTTCATTTTTACCTTCTGTTTAATTAATTTCACTTAAGAATTTGAATTTACGTTTGGATGAGGATATTTTATGTCAGCACTGTGGTCGGTGCAAGCCGGACGAGGAATTTGTATCGACCAGCCATCGCTGGGATTCGAAACCTGTTCACCTCATTGGAAGGTGAATGCTCTATCCCCTGAGAAATCGTGGCTCTAGGAGAGACGCATTGTCCAGAAAATTCACATACATGTCAGAGTTCATACTTCCAACCACAAAAACTATTTCGTTAGGTGTAAGGCTATTCTTTTCACCAGAATTGACTTTAGATGGTATGCTAAAGTTGATTCTGGAATCATAACCTCTATTTTATATTACAGGGCAGGATTTTTTAAAAAAATTGGGTTTCTATAGACATACATGTTGTTAAACACAATAATTAAAATAGGTCAGAGTATTAATTTAAAAAGGATGAAATTACCAGGCCACACAGCTTCTATGTACCATGTGAGGACTCCATAAATAAAACCATCAAAGAGCAGCATTATCATGACCTGTAACATACTGTAATCATCACCAGGAATGGGACTTTCGTGGATATTGGACCACTGAGCCCCAACACCTTCTTCTTCATAATGGCTGATGTAACTGCAACCGAACCCAAAAGCAACATTGGAAGACAGACTCTAAAATCACAAATTGAAATGATCACTTCCAATATATAACTATACAAAAATAATGCAAAACAATTAGGCTTCGTAGTGCATAGCTGCCAACTCTACTGGATTTACCAGCAGACTACGGATTTTGCCATTTTCTCCTCGTCTACTGGTTAGGACCGGACAATAAATCGATGCATTGGAAAATATCGATTCCATGCAATCATCACCGATCTGATGCTTAGATTGGCAGTTTTTAAGCATCGGAAATTGTGATTTACTGAGATGCGTACGATATTTCTTGATGCATCGTTGACATAGATGTCTACACGCGCAGTGTTGAGCATTGTTCCCAATAGAACATAGATGTCTGCAAGCTCGCACGAAGAGCAATTCCTCCGTAAGTGTGCAGTGATAACTGTGGCGATGATAGTTATCGTTCTAAGTCTTTTTTAAATTGTGACTCATAGTTTTGCTGACATGATGAATCCAAATGTGATTGAAATCGAAGTGTCGTTGAATCCATTAGTTATGGAAGGGTTTTCTTTTAATTATGCATGTGCAAATCCTATTGATTTTTTTACAATCAATCAAGACGGTTAATGTCTTTTTAACCACTATTTTGCAGATATCCACGTCTTTAAATATGTAGAAATAATAAAAAAATGCAACTTACTAATTGCGAATTTACACAGTACAAAACATAAAACATTAATGTACCGAAACATTGTGATGCATCGAAATATCGTGATGACGATACATTGCGACACTAAAATCTTAACATTGCCCAGTCCTACTACTCATATAATAAAAATTCTTCTGGTTTTTGTACATTTTAGAAAATTCCTCATGATTCAGTAAGTTTTTGAAAAAAATCCCCATTGGAATAAAAATTTTACACAATTTGTTGCTTGCTTGAATATTTAAATAAGTATTACTAGTGCATAATGATGCGAGCCTAACTTATGACTCATTCCAAATTTTTTCACGACTTAAACTATTTTCTCCGATAAAAACAGAATAATAAATTTAAAAAGCATTATAATAACATTAACTATAGTAATGAGTACTGTTATACTCTGCATCTTCATATTTATTGATTTTAAATTTAAAAAACAGAGTAAAGAAAGAGTTGAAGCAATAAAACAGCTGAAAAAATAATAGCTGATCAAATAATTTTTTCCTTTTTTTTCTGCAGAATAATATTCTAAAGATATTTTTCTTGTTCATCACAAAGGAAAGAAATACTCCTGATTTTTCTGTTATCATTTTGGAATTAAAAAAAATTTGCCAATGACCGGCTTGCTTCAGCTATAATTTTAAATTGATAAAATAAAATAAATAAATAATAATAATTCTCAAATCTCAGAAGTTTAAAAGACATTTCGCTCTAGAAATTATGTTTTTCTTTCTTCATTTTTTGAAAGAATACAGTAATTTTTAAAGAACATGAGAAGAACTTTTTATATTTTAATAAAGTATGACTCTGAGTGGGGATTTTGTTACAAATTCAGATATTCGGAACACCATGAAATTGGGGGAGGGGATTCCATTTTAAAAGTAAAGTTTTTTGGCGACCTAAATCCATGACTTTCTACTATTTTTTTTAAAAAAAATAGTTAAAATCATGACATTTCAGGAGAAATTTTGTTCAATACCGAAATTCATGACTTTCCAGGTGTGCGGATACCCTGTCGGGTAGGTATATTTTGCAAATATTTATCATCCCAAGAAAACTTGGGCTTAGCAGAATTTTTCACTACATTTTGTTTTATCACGTTTTTACTTGGTCGGAAGCAAAAAACATAATCTGCTGTGATTGGAAGTTTGCCAAGTTTTATTTGGGAGTTTTGCCGTTGAACTGCACACGTGTTTTGTGCGATTGTATATACGATGGTTGCTGAATTTACATAGCAATAAGAGTAATAAAAAAGGTGTTTTCTTTCACTGACGTTTGAAAAGTATAACTTTGTGTTGTTGCTTGTTTTAAGAACTATCATACAAAGACTAATATTTAACTTTTTTTCATTTGCCCGAGATGACTCGGGATACTAAACTGATTTTAGATTAAATGTTTCATACACATAAAAAAAATTCTAATTTCAACTTAAAACTTGTACATTATGTTTTGTTTTAGTTCCCTGTATTTATTAATAAAATTTTTTAAAAAAATATGTTGATTTTTTGCATTTTTTTCTCATTATAATTGGTAAGGGAAGTTGTTAAAGAATATTTATAGAAAAAATATATCCTGTTACATACTTAATGCAAGAAATTAAAAAAATAGTCTTACATTGGCTAGTTTTTTGCCGAGCGACATCTGATCCTCCCACATGACTAGAAATGGATATGGAATGTATATGATAAAGAAGAGCATGCCACCAGCTGCTGCAGCAAGGTTAGCTCTAGAGAAGAGTGTACTAAACAGAAATGATAACATAATAGTGGATACAGAATAGCACAAAAGAAACACAAATATCACACCAGGATCACTGTTCTCCATCACTTTTCCAAACTGAAAAATAAAAAAACTATAGTAAGTTTGAAGTAAAAAACAAAGTTTTGTTATAGTTAAAATGCAAACTTATCTGATTACATAAAGGATACATGTGAAGTAAGAAAGTTATAATATCAGTTTTAGGAAATAAATTTTTTACCACAAGGACTAGCATGAGAAGAAAGCAGCTGGCCAGCATGCTAAGAAAACTTTTAATGAACCAAGCCAGCCAAAGGACGCCATTATTGAGGCCCATCACCTTCATAACCTCTTTCAGTCGACGTTCTTTTTCATAAACAATGGATTTTATAATCATTGAGCTGGTGTACACCCAAGACAGAACCATAAACAATGGAAATGTTCGAGAAAGGGCCATGATAAACCTGTAATAAAGTAATAAACCTGTAATAGTGTTTGTATAACCTGCAATTATGTTTGTATAAGAATCTTGAAGCACATCTTACAAAGAAATTGCAATAACTATAATATGATGGTGTTGATCGCCATTACTAATATTTTAGTGGTAGTTGAAGTATCATCATTGACTTTTGGCTGTNCCATCCTATATCAAAATGTATAAAATTTCTATCCAATCTGCGACTTATTTTAATTAAGTAATTAGGTTGTAATGAAGCATTATTTTAATTTAAAAGTAAGTGGAATAAAATAGTATTTTCTATGAACTTTAACACCACTGATTTCAGCCGAAAAAAAATGTTGATTCGCTGTAAAGAGCTACATAATCATTTCTTCGGATATTTTAATGATAAATAACAACGTTTGAAGTTTTAAAATCTTTCTTTCATTTTGCACACACTCTCAGAACCGTAAATTTAATTCACAAAATTTTTACTGATAATTTACAAAGGATGTTCATACGGTATACATGATATCAAAACTAAAAAAGCATTGAAATAGCCTTAGCGGATGGAGACGGCACGTTTCCCTTTGGCACATTCGACGTCATAGCCAATCAGGGGTCGTTTTTGATTGCATCACTTACGGAGGCCTTTTGGGGCAATTTAAATGTTTAATAACTAAATAAATTAACATTTGCCGAAAAAAACAATCAGATTTTCGGTTTCAGGGGAGTTAGGTATGAAAATAAAAAATTTCCTATAAGTTAGGTATGAAAATAAAAAAAATTATGATATGCTGTTATTGTCCATTGTCTCAGTGAAATAAATGAAATCGGTTTAAAAAACTGATTTATTGAAAATGGTCATAATTAAAAAATAATAAAGAAAAGAAATCCCTTAAAGGGATCAAGATAAAACATTCTCTTACATCGAGATTTTAGTTAGCAGGAATTTTCAGTTGATCTGTAGTTCATTTATGGCGCACTTGAGCTGCACAATGAGCTATTGGCGACGGTCTCGGAAACATCCCTGAGGATGATCCGAAGACATGCCATCACAATTGTGATCCTCTGCAGAGGGGATGGCACCCTCGCTTTGGTAGCCCGACGACCTGCATGCGAAGTCAAGCATTTGACGGTAGAATAGTTTAATGAGGACCAATACTGCACATCCTTGGTCACTATGCAGACGGATCCAAGTGGTCACCCACCTGCACACTGACCGCAGTCAGTGTTGCTTGACTTCGGAATTTTCAATTGAGATAGATATTCAACGGTTGGGACTAGGAGGCCTAGTCACCACATATTTGAAATTCAACGATTTTGTTCCCAAAGGACAGTTAGGACCATGGAGAAGAGATCCAAGGTTGGCGAATTATCGAAAGATAACATAGACAAAATAAAGCCAACCCCCATAATCAATATTAGGTTGGAAATTACTTTCGCGATCGCGAATCGCCAACAAGACTGTGAGAATTAGTATAACAGAAACATATTTGTGGCAAGAAATTAATAATAAAGAGTTTTAAATAGATTTTTGTTTTTGATTAGGTGCGACAGAGAATTAATGAGTCTACATTAGAATTGAAATAAAACGTTCGCTGTTGCTTTGATCGATAAGAAAAGAATAAAATATTTTATGTTTGCTTTTTATAAAAATTAACCAATTGATTTAATTTAAATATGATTTGATTAATAATGATTAAAAAAATAAGTTTAAGTAATTAAAGAAATTTTAAAAGCTACGGAATATGTAATAGCTATTATGGCACCACATGTAACATAAAATTGAAATAAAAAACTGACTCTCTCTGGCAAATAGGGCTGTCTATGGGCTGAAAATATTTATTAAAGCTAGGTTTCTTTCCAGACATTTACAAAACTCTTGTCAGGCTGGTCTTGACTTATGCTTCTTAAGCTTGGACAATGACAAAACTGGAGGAAAATTGTATTGCAATGCTTCAGAGAAAGATTTTGTGGGGTATACTTGGTGGTGTAAATGAAAACAAAAACTGGAGATGGAGATTCAACTTTGAACTGTCTAAGATTTATAAGCAACTTGATATTATTAAACACATAAAATAAATAGAACAAATTGGATGGCCCACGTGATTCAAATGAGTGCTGACAATACAATAAAAAAGATATTTTTCTTAGTCCCACTAAAAAAAGAAACCAGGGAAGGCCGCAGTTGAGATGAGCTGATTCGGTGGAGTTTGATTTTTTTGCAATTAACGAAAAGAATTAGAAATGAAAGATAAATCGGAAATTGTTATGAAGAAATCTTCAGAGGAAGGCATTGGCACACATTGGGCTGCCTGGCCAACTATGATAACATAAAATCTAGCTATCAAACAAAACTATTTTTAAAGAGGTATTGAATTTGAATTTGTTATTTACTTTTAAGCTGATTGGAGGGTTTAATTACTCTCATTATCCATAAAAAGTTTTAAACTGCCTAACAGAAATAAAAAGATTGCAGCCCTTATAATGGTGCAATGGCAAATTCCCTATTTTTTCAGCAGATTGCAGGTGCAAAACTATTGGCAGATATAATTTTTTTTGTGAGAGTTTTGCTTATTATTTTGAAATTATTTAATTTTTACTGCATTTTTCAGTTAGGAATTTTTTTTAAATGTTTTTAAATGCATTTATACATATTTTGATTTTTGAAACAGCCAAAGTAATTTTCATTAATGATAATAAAAAACATCAACTGCATGACATATATTGATTCATTCGTGAGAATAACCACATTTAAATAACTTTTTGCAAGAGCATAGTTAGAAATAACTTTAACAAATTATTCATATTTGCTGGTATTAAATGACTAATAGAATTCTTCATTTGCTGTATTAACTGTTGTGCTAGCCAAAAGAAGAACTCATCTAGGGGTCAGAGATGTATTAAAAGTCTGACCAGTAACAGATTTAGACACAACACAGATAAGAAGCATGTGAAAAAAGTACAAATTTTTCATTTTGAGAAATGTGATTTCTATCATCCAACTTTTTTAGAAGTAACAGATGGGCAAATAAATAAAACAGTTAAACAGGGTGCATAGCCAAATCTTTCAACAAAAAATAAGCACTTTTTAAGCACTCAAAAAATATTTTCAAGCACTATAAACATTAACAAAATGCAAAATAATTTTGAAACACTTATGATCATGCTTCAGACAAAGAACTCTTTTCTTGATTATAAAAGCCATTATAAAATGATCAAGAGATTTTTCGGTTCAATATCAGAGGATGGAAAATGAAGCCTGAAATTGAGAAAATCTTGTATAAGGCAGCAGAGTTGCACACGAGAGTGCAATAATCTCACCAAAACCAGCTCAGTAGACGCACATACAGACTCACAAATATTCCATCTGACACGTAAAATGGTTGGCGCTTTGATACGCTACGAACCGATGATAAGCCGAAGTGCATTGCATTTGAATGAATTTTGAAAATACCGAATAGAATAATGTGAAAACCACGTTTTTGTCTAATACATGGCGAAAATCACTTTTTAAAAACACTACCCACCATGTTAAATAAAATTATTAAAATTTGTAAACTTATTTTACAAATGTTAATAATTTATTTGGTACATAATATGTATTAATAGTATGTAATAAATTAATTTCATAATGTATCAGATAAGATGAAAACTGGTTAACACAAACAATTATGATAGTACCACCGATTTTGTATTAACGAGGTTCGGTTCGACTGTATAAATAGAATATCAGAATTACAAATTAGAAAATCAGGAAAATGCATTTCTAATGGAGCCTTACTGATCAAATATGTAACATGGATATGGAAATTGCTGCAAGTAAATTCCAGTTTCTTGCGTTCTTCCTGTCTGTTCCCTGATGATTGCATGCTCAATCATGTCTTGCAGATAAGCAAATCCAAACGTGATATACTTCATGTCAATCCCTGGTCTTCTCCGTGGTCCAGGCGTATGAAATCTGTGTCAAAAAAATTTATATCAGAAACTGCAGGCAAAAATTATTTGTAATTAAATTTTAAACTGGTTTCTAAGCAAAGAAAAAAAAACAATACAATACAATTTTGCTCAAATAAAAAAAAAGTGATAGTCAAAAAGTATGAAAATATTAATTATAACAGGACTAAAGCGATATTCAATTTTGAAATATCAATTAATTGCATTTAGTCTTTCAAGCATGAAAATTTATAAAACCTATTAAAAATGCAAACAGAAAATAAACAATGCAATACTGCTGCTACTTTATATACCACCAATGCACTCTTGAGAGCAATAAATCAAAATAGCTATTTATATGATTTTTTTTAAATTTTACTAAAAACATTGAGTTTATAAATATACTGCCTCAAAAAACAAGTATTTAATTTATTAAATTAATTTATGAAGAAAAAATCATAACATTTTTATTAAATTAAATTTTTATGCATGTAAAGAGCATGAAGCATTACAGTAATAAGCCATACTTAAAACAAAAGGTGAATTTTTTTATTTACACATCAGGCTGTTCCTTAGTATCGTTTCCAGATATTTAATGAGTGTCTACCAAATAGCACACAAAAATATCTTATAAGCTACATGGAAATGATGGTGTTTTGTGCTAAAAATGCTTCAATGAACTATTTGAAGATGTGGTTTATTTAGCTCTAAGCTCTTAATACATTTCTGAATACAATCCAAAAGTCAGGAAATATTAAAATATTCATTAATAAAGGATTTATTATTACATATGAGATTTAACTTAATTTTTTGAATCATAATTCCATTACTTTTTAGTTTTGCATACCACTACAACTTTTTCAATCTATCACTATTTCATAATAAATTAAATTTTCACTACATAAAAAAGTGAATTTACGGAAATAAATGCAACCATATTAAAATAAAAAATATAATGAAACACTAGATGACAAACCTGTCCTCGACTCTCTTTGTACTGTCCACTTTACTGGCTGCCATTCGTATCTTATACTGTATGAAATGGGGCAGTTGATCTCGATTTTCCAGATCATTGAACACAACACCAGCCCAAAGTTTGTTATCTTTAATAAGATCCAAACCAGTCATCACAATGTCCTTCTCTGTATTCAGTGCAACAAAACGATTCAGTTCAAAACACTGCAAAGAAAAATATTATTTTTAAATGGATGATAATCATTTAAAATTAAATATTACAGCGATGCTAATTCCTATTTTGCAAACTTCAATTTAGCATTAGAAAAAGTAATAAGAGATTCCAATATTAACACCAAGGGGAATATTTTTAATAACACTGTACAACTGTTGGCCTTTGCCGCTAACATAGACATTATTGCTAGAACACCCATAGCATTAAGACAGGCTTTTATTTTAGAGAAAGCGGCTCTCGGGTTGGGCCTGAGAATAAACGATAACAAAACTAAACATTTGCCCTGTACTAAAACAAGCTTCAATAACATTAATAGAATATCATACTCAATATGATTATGTTTTCAAAAATATTCAAAGCAATTTTTGACTAAATTATTTTTAAACACAACAATTTTTCATTGGAAAAGCCTATTTTCTCAAATGTATAAATCTAAAAATAAAAAAAAATAATGCATTTTGAAGAGAAAAAAAATGGTTAATTTTTTTTCTTCATACGAACTTATAATTTGGTTTAATAATAATAATTTAAACTACATAGCAGAGAAAGTTTGAAAAGAAATAACTGTAACTAATGTCAGAATAACAGATTTTGAATGTGATTAGCAACTTTTTGTTACCACTATTTCTAAGAACATCCCATTTTCAGGGTTTATTGCATGATTTTTGCACAACGTAACATTTTCTGACACTTTGATCAATTGGAACACTAAAAACAGTACAGAATTTTGTATTAAATATTATCACAAGATAATATTTAATACAGACTTAAGATATTGTGACCAATTAGAAGGTACATTCAAATAGATTGATCATGTTTCAAAATAAATAAAAGCCCTAAAATTTATGCCTTTTTCTCCCCTTCTAAAGTAGAAAATAAAGATTAGCGTAAACAATAAATTCATTGCAATTAAAGTACTCCAATTCTATGTATTGAGTTATGGGAATAAGAAGTATGTAAATTTTATTTTTCATTCAGTCATTTTTTTTTGTTTTCCTAAAAATTGCAGGAAAATAACAATAAAATTAGAAACTAATTTATTTCAGTGATATTTAATTAATAAATTGGAACTGACACACACATATTTATCAGGATTTATAATTAACTGACACACATATATTTTGCATTACATAGGGAGGAAAACCTCCCATGGTTAGTCTGACAGCAAGGGGACTCTAACCCATGATCTGTTTACCACTGAGGATTTTTATGTCAGCACTGGGGTTGGTGTGAGCCGGATGTGGAATTCGAATTGACCAGCTATTGCTGGATTCGAACCCGGTTCATACTTTATCCCCTGAGTCACCATAAATAGAATCATATCAATTCGCAACGCATTTACTGTCAAGAAAGTTCAAGATAGCAGTACAAGTTCCGATCACTCTTTAATGGCAAAAAAAAAAAAAAAAAAAAAAANTGGTTAATCTATTTTCACTTTAAATAATAGTCATTCACATAAAAACAAAATATTGTAAGAAATACAGTCTTGACTTCAATTCTAATGAAACAAGGAACAGTGGAAATGTAGTACTGTAAATAAGATATCTACATTTTTGCTGCACATTGTTTTATTGTGTTTGCTTTTATGAGAATGATTCTTATTTAACCCACTGAAAGTTCTGCAAGTAAAAAGTCGTATTTTAATCTGCAGTCTTCTTCGCTCAGCAAAACCGGTTTTCCCATGTTATTGGATAGAAGAGTGACCTTTTTGGGGAGAAACATTTTCCCAATTTCACCCATTTGCTAAACCGCCAGTGGGTGAAAGTAAAACAAATTAATAAAACGTAATAGGTATTGTAAAAAATATTTACAACACTATATTTCAGTAGACTTCTCATATTGAAATTGTTGGAGCAGGTTAAACTTTATTTTAGTAAACTTATTTTTAGTAATATTTATGGTTAATATTTTTTCTTGCTTTTACTTTAAAACTTAAAATTCATTTATGAAAACAATTTCGACCCACCTCTAAGTAATCTCTGACTTCCTCAATCACACTGTTTACTTTATTTAACCATGCAGTTGAATTTGAGAGAATTTCTTTGGCTATTTCATTCATGGTTTCTATCACAGTCAACAAGGTCTCATTTGTTTTTCCAGTAACAGTCACATTAGACAACAGCTCCTCCAACAAATCTTGAAATGGCAAGTTACCGGGCTGCAATAATTCCTAGAAATAAAGTGGATTTGAAAATTGTTATGAACATGCACTAGAGATTAAATTAAATCGTGAATGATTGTTTAATTTTAAGTAGAGATTGATACTGATTGTTAATACAGTTTAATAATATGTTAAATATTCAGTAGAGATTGATACTGATTGCTGACACAGTTAAACTTACTTAATAGGTAACATAATTGGGAAAAAAACTCTATGCCTATAATTTTTTTGCAAGCTTTGTTTCAACAAATTGTAAATCATTTAAAAACTGCAATAATTTTGTAGCTGGTAGTAAAAAAAAGTATTTTGCTTCATATTAAGGTAGGTACTTTAATCCTGTCGAACTAGAGTTGCACAATGGGCTATTTGCGACAGTCTGGAAAACATCGCTGAGGATGATTCGAAGACCTGCCATTGCAAATTTGATCCTGTGCAGAGGGGATGGCTCCCCTGCTTTGGTAGTTTGACGATCGACACGTGAAGTCGAGCACTTTACGGTAAAACAGTTCTGATCAAAGTATTCACCCACCCACTTACTGACCTCAGTCAGGGATGCTTGATTTCAGTGTTTTACTGGGAACCGTGGCTTTACTACCAGTTGACTTCGGGACTCATATTTTTAAGAAATGCATTTTAGTTTAGGCTAATTTTGTTAATACATAAATACTTAAAGTGAAATACATAATTACTTCAATAATAGCTAATTGATCATGGCTTTTGTTCAGAACTTCGGATATTTTAACAGACCAGGTATCAAGCCACTGGTTGCTCAACTCAACGGCATTTACAAGGGGAGAAAAAGTTTCATTCACCTGCAAAGTAAAAAGTTTAAAATTTCTTAAATTCTAATTACGAATTACATATTCGTACAATTAATGAGGAAAACAACTTACTCTGGCTATAATTTTGTAAGCAGCTCTGCTGTTGGGTGAATAAATAATTTTTCCTCTCACAAATGGTTTCATTTGACTCCATAACATACGAGTTAGTCTATTTTGTTCTAAAGTTCGAAACAGGCTGTTGCATTTGGCAGCTGAAAATAAAATTGCAATCATTACAAAATATTAATAACTTAAAATTAATATAGTACATTATTATTATTATACTAACAAACTATGAAATGCTTACTTGTAGTGTTGTCGTATACATATTTAAAATCATCATTCTTTGCAGAAATTTCTCTGTCGTTCTTCATCTGCTGACGTAATTCTTCAAAATGACGAGCTGGTCCACCGCTGTCTTGATCAAAGAGCGTAGACATATTTCGACCACAGGTAAACAATTGGATTAATTGACTTGTTTTGTTCTCGTCATCTGAATCAAAAACTTCTACAAGTCTTTGCCAGGTGGTGTTTAAGTTCATCAATATATAATACAAATTGTTCATGCTCGTGATCTAACAATAAAATAACAAAAGCGATATTAATTTTATTAGAGATAAAACCAGATTAATCAAATATATTTGTGCTTTTGCGTTTCTAATTGTAAGAAATTCTGATGGAATGGTGACTGTAATTAAAATAATGCAAGAATTTGCATTTTAATGAAACTTCAGTATTTTGAAAACAATACTTAAAAAACTTTCATTAATTTGACAGCTGTACATCTTTGTTTTAAGATAATGTAATAATTTGTGTAATTGCAGTGTTTTTATGTTGAATATAAAGAGATTGTTAACTTAATTTAAAATAAAAAATTGTGCTTCAAAATCTTAAACAAAAAAATTTTTGCACTTGCACAGGATTTTCCAAAACAAATTTCCCAAAATCAATACATGGTAAAGAAATGCATGGTTTAACACATTTGTTTAGGTGACCAGACTTTTATTCTAATCAAATTTAAAAATTAGTTAAAGTTCGTCAACATATGGAGCTGCTGACTGAAAAAAAAATCTTTACGCATGCTTATCATCTAGCATAACATAAGCTATTGATAAATCTTCAAATATGAAGGAGGATTCAGTTCCGGGTATTCCAATCACCTTACGCACTGTAATGCATAATAGACACAATGCCATAAATGTAAGAAACTTATAGGAGTTCCCACAAAAGGAAATGTTAGAAATTTAAATGCTTATATCAAATTCTATAAGTGTATGCAGTCAAATCCATTCATTGATTTCTAGTAATAAAAAAAACTGATGTTAAAATTGATACATATATATATATATATATATATATATATATTTATATACCCCGTGAGAATCACAGACACTGTTGCAGAAGATCATAGAGTTCTTGCAAAAAGATTTTTCTATTGAAAAGTAAAAAATTTTACTTTTCTATTTTACAGAAATTTACATGTAATATTTGAACCATGCATTTAAATAATCACTTTCTGACACACCCAATTTATGCCGATAGTATCGTAAATTGACGTAAAGTTTCGATTGTCTGTACGGCAGTTATTGATACCGTTTTTCAGGTGGATTTTAAATATCCCTATATATTTCAAACAATATGAAAAATTCGAATCATGCATTTGAGTATTTACTTTTTACAGCAATAATTCTAACGAATTTTAGTCAGCAATTGCTACCGAATTCTCCACAGTTTTTAAATACGATATTTTTTACTACTATGGATTCCATGATTTTTAATTATTTTTTTTTATTGTGATGATTATTTACAAAATGCAAAGAAGGAAATAATTTGTGAGTTTGCAATAAGATGCAAGGATATCACCCATAATATTAGAATAAAAAATTATTGCATATTCAATTAAAAAAATATGTATCAGCACTTTTGCTATTTTAAATTGGTAACATATATACTTCTTATTATTAAAATGTCTTGCAAAAAAATATTAGTGCTGGAGAGTTTTGTCCAAGATAGTTCGAAAAAATTCTGCTACAGGGTATATATAGATCAATTTTGAATTTTATATATATATAAATCAATTTGAGTTTTCTTCATGTGACTTCTATAATTTGAGACAAAATATTGGAAACACTTCGCTAATTTTTGATATTTCTCAAAGAATACAATGAGAATCAGTTTATAAATTTAGAAGTGTTAAAATTGTGCGATTTTTCATACATAACAATGAAGTTTGAAGCTTTCTGAGGGACCATCAATGAATTGCAAACAGAAAAAAAAATGTTGAAATTAGTGTAAAATGAAACTGATCAAAATAATTATTTCATTTTTATAAATGCATCTAAATATTTTGCATGAAGAAATATCATCAAAATATGTATGAATAAATGCTTTATTGCTTTTTACTGTGCATTTTGTGTTGTGTTATTACTATTGTTAATTATTACAAATTTGAATTAACTTACACTGATTTTCTATACAAGCACTACCAAGAAACTTTGTTTACTAAGTAAAAATTTTAAACGCTCCCTATTATTTTTACTAGTCACTGCCTTGAATATATATTTTTTATTTTAAAATTTTTGAAAATGAAAGAAAATGGTGAATTGAAAAAGAATACTTACATCATTGATAGCGTTTTGGCTTGCACTCATCACTTTTTTCCAGTCGTTCAGATGCAGTTTTTTTCCAGTGTTGTTGGCACTAATACTTGAAAACTAATTTTTAAAAAAAAATTTTAATTTTTAGTAACATGTTGGAGTTTAGAAATATTTAAAAATTAACATATTGGAATCTCAATTTCAAGGAAAAGTATTGATAAATAAAAAAAAATGACAAGAAAAGACCACTAAAAAATAATATGAATGATTAGACTGGTAACAAAAACTACTTTCACGTAAACAACTCATAAAGTTTTAGAGAAATAAACTTATATAAAATGAGAATAAAATCACTTGATTTTAAAAATAAAATCACTGATTTAAATCATTAAAATAAAGATACAATGGTAAAGATAGTTTGTGATGTGTTTAAAGATATTTTGAACCCCGAGAGTAAAAATTTAAATCTTTCGAAGTAATACTTTAAATAGTTTATTTGAGTTCGAACAAAACATTATGATGTATAGTGATTACCAACAATAAAATAAAAATATTTTTCAAGGCATTATTTGATTTATATTTGTTGACATATTACTTTGTATTTACTGTCAGATTCACTATTGCTTTTTAAACAAATTTACTTGGAAATTTATGGAAATGTATTTACTTGGGAATGCATTTACTTGGAAATATATTGACTTGGGAATTGGAAGTGTATTACTTTTGATGGAAATATACTTACTTAGAAAATCTGCACAAATCTATAGATAATTTATAATAGCCTTTATTCTTTAGCCGTTTGTCTGTAGCCTAGAGGCAGAATCGTGGTGACACGGCGACATTGTCACAGAATATTTCAGAGTTCTTGCAGAAAGATTTTTTATTTGGGAAGCAGAGATGGTTGGTTTTCTTATCTGCAGAATTTTTCGAAATATTTGTTTTCTATGTAAAAAATTTCGCAATGACTGACTTTTGCTAAATTTTCTGATAAATATCATAAAAAGTAACAAAAGTTTCCAAGTAACAAAAATTGAAAAAAAGGTTAACTATATAAATATTTTTAGAACAGGAGAATATCGCTAATAATATTAGAATATGTATTATTTTATATTTAGAGTTTTTTAAAAAAAATTCTTACATTTATAATTAAAAAAATTATATATTGTTCTGTTCTATACACGAAGGCCTTTTTTTGTCAACAGAAAGCACTTCTGTTACTTTAAATTAATAACATATATATTTGCTATTATTAAAAATGTCTTTTAGAAAGATATTAGTACTAGAGAGAATTGTCGCAGAAAGCTCTAAGAAATTCTGCAACAGGGGTATGTAGTTAGTTTAAAATAGAGCCTGGTTACTTTTCCAAATAACGCTGTATTAGTTTCTATGCGTACGATTCAATGGAGCAATAGTTCTCAGAAAATATTTGGACAAATTGCCCCAGATAGCTTAACAGTTAAAAGGATAAACTAGTAACTCAATAGAAGTTAGAAATTTTACCTGGCTTAAAAATTCTTTGTAATCTACATGCCTGGCCAGTTCAAGAGATAACCTTTCAACTTTTTTGGTGTTAAGGTAACACAGTTCTTCTACTAGAGCACTCTCCTGAGAATAGGGGGCATCTAGGATGTCCTCTAGGCCATCGGACAGGCAAAGGTGTTCACCTAAGCTTTGACGACCACGATCAAATATCTAAAGAAAACACATAAGAAGAACGATTTAAAAAGGTATCAAATAGAACGTTAACCCAAAAAGGTAAACAAACTGAATGCTGATAAACAAAAGTAATAATTTTAAAGATCTAAACAGAATTAAAAAAATAATAAATACAATTCTAAACAAGAGTGTTAAATCTAAATTATTATAACATAATTATAGCTTAGGCTGTTATATATCATGTTCTATATAATCACTACGTTTATACCTTTTTAAAATACTTTAAAGATATCAATACAAAATTTTTAAACATTAGGGGTTGCAAATTAATTACTAAGTAAAAAAGAAACGAAAACATAAAAAATCAAACAAATTACTAGCGACAAAGGTTGGGATGAAAAATATTAATACCAAGCTAGATGGAACTTAATAGAAAAATGATAGCTTGATGGAACTTAATAGAAGAATGATAGCTTGATGGAACTTAATCATTCTCAGTATCATGTTTCAACTCCTCTCTGTTTAGTTTAGCAGTTTAAAGTTTGACAGTTTTTAGTCCTGCATTTCTCAATATTCAGTTAAAAGATATTAGATTTTTCTCTGCTTAAATAATTATCTGTGATCCAAAATGTAAATACTCTCTGAATAATTTGTGACAAAGAGTAAAAATATATATAAGCAGGTTCAACTATCAGGCGAATTTAGAAAAATCTCTCATTTCCTTAACTGTATTTTTTTTTAAAATTTCCAAACAGTTTCAGAAATGAAATTAATAGTAAGAACAAAAGCATCATAAAATATCCACACACAAAAAAACTTTCTCATGCAAATGGTAATTCAAAAATTTAGTTTTAAAATTTCTTTAAATTAATTTAAATTATTTCTAGATTAATTAACTGGAAATTATTAAAACTAAATATTTCACTAATTTTAAATTAATTTACAAAAAATAACAATTTAGAACCTATGTGATCAGCTGCAAATATTAACTAATATATAACACAGAACGACAGAACACTTTGAATCAGCATAACTGCTAATATTTAACTTTTTACGCAACATATCCCTTTTTTGCTTTTGTGCTGTATTAACAATAAAATTCGGTTAGATTTTAACAAATACAACAAAAAAAAACTATGAATAGAAAAAAAAATTTAAATAAAGAAGGAAAAAAACAGACTTTTTCATAGTTTATAAAAGCATTCTGTAATTGTTAAAATTCATAGAAAATTCTCGGCTATTAACATTCATAAATCGTAATTTACTTCAATTCCTAAATAAATTACACTTGTATATTAAACAAAATATAAATCCCAACAGGGTTAACGATTTTTGCAAACAAAAGTGAAAAGCCTATAACAGTTCTTAAACTAGTAAGAAAAAAATAATACATTTTCTTCTTTTTTTTAATATCAAGAATAGTTTGAAAATATGTATGTTGTTTGAATAAGAAAAATCATGTAAAATTGCAGTAGCACTCTTTGATTGTTCAAAAAAAATTTTTACATACCTACAAAAACCTTTTTAATAATGTAACAAGATAAAGTAATTCAGAAATTATTCGATGCAAGTTTAAGAACATTTAGTATAATTTGTATGTGCCAAAATTTAGTAATTTAATATATAATTTAAGAGCATGCCAACTATGTATGGTCTTAAATTTGCAAATTTTTCAATAATTAATATGAAAAAATATATAAATTTAAAAAATTTAGATTAATTTAAATCAAATATATTAAGAAAAAAACTTTGCCTGATTTGATAAAAAAATTACAAAAAAACTCATAAATAAACTTAAATAAATACCTTAAAATATTACCAAAAAAATTTACAAAATTTCTAAAAAGTCAATTAAATTTTGTGGAATTTTTCGTTAAAAAATATTAGAAGTAAAAAAGATTTCTCTAAAAAGGACTTACCTTTTGTACACCAGAAAAACTAATATTTGAAGATAACAAAATGTCAGTGGCTTGCTTTGATATCCTTATATTTTTATGCCTCATACTTTTTTTAAAAGAAGATTTGTCTTTTATTAAACTACTTAATTGTAAATTACCTAAAAAAGAGTAAAAAATTTTATTAAAATTCGCTACTACAACTCTGCAAAAGGAAATAACAAATATCAAACTATCATACAATTTCAGTAAGACAGGATTATAACATTTAACCAACAGGCCATTCTGCATGTACAAACCTCTAATTTTTTTTATTCTCCCCAAATGATTGTGTACAGGAAAAACTTTTACTTTATTTTCTACCCTCAAATAGTCCGGTACAGAGCGGTGGTGGCTCAGAGGATAGAGCGTTCACTTTCCAATAAGGTGAACCAGTGTTCGAATCCCAGCGATGGCCAGTTGATACGAATTCTGCACCCGCCCCATACCGGACACAGTATACTGACGGGAAATATTCTCAGTGGCAGATCATGGGACCATCAAAAAGTCCTCCACAAGACCAAATTTCTCCCAATACTTGATCCAGGAATTATCTTGCTCTCTGGATTGGGTTCAAAATTACAAGGATATGGAGTTGAACATTGGTAGTCATAAACCCTAAATTGGATCGGCTGTTCAACGACGGTTATAAAGTAAAATAAAATCAGATCTATTTGTTGGCTAATTATGCTTATAGATGTCTTAAATAGTTTTGTTTTTAGGAAAATTCTGCCAATCTATAATAGTTGTTTCACAACCACTCTGATTCAACGGTCTCTAGAATTAGATAAGAGAAAAAACTGATCGTTCTTACCACGATTTTCTGATTAGCATGAAATATATTATTACTATATTAACTGTATTGTGCATAAAAAAAGTGTGAATGTTTCGAAGCAATACAAATGAGAATGTCAAAACAACTAGCGGGTAAAACTAAACCATCCACAACAAAAGCATTAACTTAATTTTTATTTCGGAAAATAATTCCAAAAAAGATAGAAATACATTTGAACCCAGTAGGGATGTTCAAAGAAGACAACTGTGAAAGCCATATAAAAAAGGGGGCATCCCTTAACCAAATGACGATTTAGCAAATAAGCAAAATTGCCTATACATTATTCCCCTATATATTAAAATGGAAAAACTGGTTTTACAATGAGGAGAAGACTGCAGGGTAAAATATAACTTTTCACGTGCAGAACCCTCAGTGGGTTTAACAAGTAAGAACACTAAGACTTCACAATTATTTATTACTGAATTTAAACTGGTTTTTGTTTTTGTTTCTTTGCAACAGATATTACTAATCTTTTAAGGGGCATCTATACAAGAAGTATGTAAAATGCATCCAAAGAACTCAGCACAGAACTGACTATAGTTGATAATGATCTAATATTTTTTAGGGGTTTAAACCTTTTTGTAACTTTTTTTAAACAATATTTTATGTTTCAAGCAGTTATGTTGAAGCAATACAAGATTTTCAAAATATTCAAAAGAGCATTTTCGACAACAAAAATAAACATAGTTTCTAAGAACTCAATAAGATGTTTGTGTCGATTGTGCTGGGATCTACCGGAAATTTCAGGAACTTAAAAATTACCTATTTGGATATAATACTAAGGAAACCTTGAAGTAAAACAAAAATTCCCCTTTGAGAAAGTGTAACTTATCATTACATTGTCCTGGCAGTATAATGATGTATATTCCAGAGTTATATAATACAATAATGATCCTTCAAATAATATTAACATTTAATATGCTAATATAGTAGCAATACAAGCTTTTGTGTTATATTTTGTAATGCTATGATATGCAAATTTTAAATTTATTTTGATAAAAAAAAACTATGTTACAAGAGAGTTAAAGTTTAAACATTAAAAATATACATTAAAGATTATGTTTTGTCTCCAATCGACAAAATCTGCAAATTAATAATACTCACAGAATATCTGGTACAGGGTATTTTCAAATTAACGACTTTTCATGACTTAACGAAGTTGCTGTTTTCTCCGACAAAAACACAACAATAAATTAAAAAAAAAGCCTTATAATAACATTAACTGAAATGATAGGTATAACCAAAACTGTTATACTCTGCATCTTCATATTTATAGATTTTAAAAACAGAGTATTGAAAGAGTTAAAGCAATAAAATAGCTGAAACAATACAAAAGCAAATAATTTTTTCTTTTTTTCTCAGCAGGATTATATACTAAAGATACTATTCTTGTTTATCGGAAAGGAAAGAAATACTCCTGATTTTTCTGTTCTTATTTAAGGATAAAAAAAACCTGCCAATGACTGGCTTGCTTTTAAAAGATAATTCGCTCTAGAAATTATGCTTCTCTTTCATTTTTTGAAAGTACACCACAATTTTTAAAGAACATTATAAAAAAAATTTATATTTTTATCAAATATGACTGTGAGTAGGGATCTTGTTACAAATTCAGATATTTGGAACACCATGAAGTTGAAGGGTTGGTAAATCTATGACTTTTCAGGATTTTTTTTTAAAAAAATAGTTAAAATCATGACATTTCATGACAAATTTTGTTCAATACCAAAATTTATGACTTTCCATGATTTCTCATGACTTCCCAGGCGTGCAGATACCTTGAACTCATTTAAATTTTACCTATAACAGCATACATACTTTTGGCACTTTAAATTGATGCCAAAAGATGAACTTTCAAAAATACCCTGCCAACTGTTTGATAAACACTTAAAACTTTCTTCCGCTATTAAATATTCAAATATAGTCACTTAGCAAATTAAATTAATGTTGTATAATTAAACAAGATAAGATTTTTTCTTCCAGAAATCTTAATAGTTCTTCAAATATGCCACTTAAAATTCCACACACTAAGTTCCTCAATTAAATATAATTTACAGTAAGAATAATACTTACCAAAAATAGGAACTTGAGGATCTGTTAATTTCTTAATAAAAAAATTAATGGTTTTAAAATCATCTAAACTGCGATCTAAAGATCTTTTGACATCACTTGTTAAATGATTACTAAGAGTTTCTTCTAATTCTTCTGCAAAACTCAGAATTCTGAAATACAAGCAACATAATTTAGAATGTAAATATATCAATACTATTAAACACTTCTCAATAAAATAATGCTGATAATTTAAACACAGCATTTTAAGCTCTTCAGGAAAAAATTCAAAATATTACTTAACTTACAATTTATACTAAGGTTCAAAATAATTTCGAATAAAAAATTGACATGAGAAATCATGAGAAATTATTAAGAAATATTATGCATGTTTACATACAAATTTTTTTTCTATAGAAACTTTTCAACAAATTCTTTAACTAATCAAACATTAAAATGAAATTACTCACTCCTTATTTTTTTAATAACAGAGGAATTGATTTTAAAATTACTGAAACATTTTTAATGTCAGCTCATCACAAAATAAAAAATTTAACTCTCTGAGCATTTGAACTAGAACATTCTGAATTTTAATGTAGCATAAAGATGTTAATGAGTATAATAACATTATGAGTATAATAACATTATGAGTTAATAACATTTATTACAATACATACTGATTATTTGACCAATTCCATTAAAAAAAATTTTTTTTATATAATCTAACATTTTTAATACCTCCAATAATTTGTTTTTAAAAGAAAATAACAGGTTAACTTACGATGAGGAATTTAATTGAAGTAGTGTATCTCTTGCATCTTCTGTGTGCATAGTAGGGTAACAGGTATTATTAAACGTACATATAGAATTTTGTAGAAAGGGTAAAATACCAGCTGAAGGCATAGCTTTTTCATCAAAATAACCTGAAAATATAATTTTGATTATAACCATGGCCTAGAATTCAGTCAATGGCATTAAAAAATAAATAAAAAATCTTGTGTATTTAATTAAAATGTTAACGTAATTAGGGTGTCTAGCAGCTTAAAACTTAAAAAAAAAAAAAAAAAAAGCCTTCAAGACAAAAATTGTTTTTTTTTTAAAAAAGGACCATTTTTACNCCCCCCCCCCCCCAAGAAAAATTCAAATGTTTAATCAATATTCTCTACATTGATACAACTAATAAAACTAATATATGAACGTGGATTTAAAACTTGGCATTTGTAAAATCTTGATAATTAATGCCAAAAACCATACTTTTTTATCAACTTGATTAAAAAAAAAAAAGAAAGAAAAAAGAAATACAAGAAGGTACAAAAAATTAAGATATATTACCAAACATAAGATAATCTTCAGAAAATTTTAAAATATTAGATTATAATTATTTTGAAATTTTCTATTGTTAATTATTATCTTTCCTAGTAGCACCATTACATGATTAATGGAAAGAAATTCAATTTAACTATCATAAAAAAGTTGACCTCATACATGGTATCATTCAGCCTAAAAGAAGAAGATGCTATTAATCTTAGTTAACATTAAATAGTTCAGATTTTAATAACAATCATGCAATTTTTTCTATAGTTTGGTACTTAAGTACATAATTTATCATTTAAAAAAATGAAATAAAAATGCAGAGAAATAAAAAACAACGAGATTGCCAACATTCACCAGTGATGTCAACAACTACCTATTTCGGTCATTCCCAGTAACATACACACAAACAGAGTAACAATAAGAAAAACAAAAATATTAGAAAAAGTTTATATAAAGAAATAATCCAACAAATATCCCCCTAAAAAAAAGAAATATGAATATAAAACAAAAGTTTACTAAAATATAAAATTCAATGCCCTAAACATTACGTCACTAAACTTACATTATTAAAAAGATAAGTAATTACACATGCAATGATAAATAAATGCACTTACATTGATGGGCTGCATACTTTAAGCCTTTGCTTCTAACCCACATAAGAATAAGAAATAAAGATAATGGCCAGACTATTTCCACCACTAACCGTACCTAAAATATAAATAATATTTATTATAATCATTTACATCTTTATACAGGGTCCGTAGCCAAAATCTACAAAAAAAAAAATATAAGCACCTTTTAAGTACTTTCTAAGCACTCAAAAATATTTTTAAGCACAATATACATTAACAAAATGCGAAATATTTTTCAAAGACTTTACAGAATCATGCTAAAATAACTAGTTTTTGACAAAGAACTCTTTTCTCGATCATATTAGCCATTAAAAAATGATCGAGAGATCTTTTGGTACGATTGCAGAGGGTGGAAAATGAAACTTAAAATTGAGAATATCTTGTAAAATGCAGCAGCGTTGCACATGAGAGTGCAATAATCTCACCGAACCCAGGTCGCTATATGCACATGTGGACTCGCAAGTATTTAATCAAACTTGCAGAATGATTTGCAATTTTGTTACGTTATGGACCGACGGTACGTTGAAATAGATTGTGGTTTAATGATTTGTGAAAACGTTGAATAGAAAAATAGGAAAAGCACACTTTTGCACAATACGTGTCGAAAATTTACACGGCAAAGAAAAAAAATCTGATTTTGGAGAAGGGAAAATTAAGCACTTTTTAAAAACACCTAATGATAAAAGCACCTTTAAGGGCTTTTAAAAACGTAAATTGAAAATAAGCACCTTTAAGCACTTTTTAAAAACGCTATGCACCACGTCATATGGACAAATATTTTTAAAAAGGAATTGTTTATTAGTAGCTTAACTTTTTTTTCCAACCAAGTTTCCACCCAGCATTTGATGTTAGTTCAGGTCAGCGGTTCCCGTACCAGTGTTACATGGAAAAGTGAAAAGGGTTCCAAGAACTTTTTAGAAACTTGTAATTATATTTAGATCCAATTAATAATAAAAATATTTACCTAATATTTTGGTTGCCTTTTCGAAATTATTTAAAATAAAATGCCAATGAAAAATAAATTGAAAGAATTGGAATCGTCCTCATTTAATTCACATTAGCTAGATATTCGGTAGATTAATTGATTTAAGCACTTAAACTGTAACAAATACATAACGCAAAAAATATATAATTACCTTTTGTCTCTTGTGAAGCGTAAAATTCTTCCATAATAGAAGGTACAATTGGTTCCAAAACCCCATTATAACTACAAAAGTTAAAATTACATTATACTACAAAAAATAGGATATTCTAAAAATATAGAATATTTAGAAATATTATAAAAATAAGGACATTTAAAAATATAGAATATTTAGAAATATTATAAAAATAGGACATTTAAAAATATTGGAAAAATAGGATTTATTAAAAATAAGATATTTAAAACCTGAAAAAATAAAAAGACACTTTACAGTTCAATGAAAACATAATCACATTAGCTGTTAGTATAATCACATGCAAACATAATCACATTAGCAGAATCACATTAGAAGTTAATTAAATTTATTATTTCTGAAATGGTAAAAAAGTAAATATCACACAGTGATTTTTACTGAAAAAACTAAATATCAATATAATAACACCCTTCACAATAATAACTAGAGAACTGAAATTAAGTAAGAATGATAAAAATCATGAACTTAAATAAATATTTTCTTCTAAATTGAATTTTTTAAACTTATTTATATAATATATATACATTTATGTGTGTATGTTATTTTTTTACAACCAAATCTCTGTTATATAACTACCGAGATTAAAAAATTACTACTAAGAAATTACTAATTATAAAAATGAAAACTAGTTCAAGAAAAACAATAAAAGAAATTACACAAGCAAATAAAAATAGTTCTCACCTGAAATATATTTATCTGCTAATAAAACAATACCGGTAATCCATAATACACATTTAAAAAAGCTGGAATTCTAAATGATTCAAAACCTGAAATTAATAAATAAAAAAATTTAATATAATGACATTTTTTGTAATAAAAAATATTTCATAGGCAGGATACAGAAAAAGAATAAGAAAATTATGTTAATAAACTAGTTGTAATCATAATTTTCTTTAATAACACCCTTGATTTTAAAATATACTGCAGAAATATACATCAAAATTTTCAAAACCACACAATAGTTATAAATAGATAATATTTACCTAAACCATGCCAACAAAATGAACTTAAGTTATAGTTTGTCTAAAGTAAAAAGTCCCCTAGCCATTTGTTGGACTCGTGGCGGTGACTATGGTAACGTTGTGAAGTTGTATTTCAAGTGGGGTGAGGGGTCACTGTTTAGGACAGGTTTTGGTCAGTGAGAGAAAGGGACTCTTTTTGTTCGGTCTATTGTGTTAGCTCTAGAGTGAAGAGAAGCTACCCTTCCTGAAATGAGCTATTATTGTTACCATAGTAGCAGACGGCCTCAGACTTTCTGGTTGGGGGAGTTCATACCATAGACAAACTATACAATAGTGGATTACACATCTTTGGTAATTGGAATGGTGATAGCTAAAAAATTATGTGACAGGGAATGTAAAAGAATCCAAAGGGAAATTGTGTTACGAAAAGAAAAGTTATTTTAAATAAGAAGAGTTAAAGAATGCCTATCATTATTCAAAAACTTTTATCATCTTTCAAACAATGTTGAATATTTATTTTTAAATTTTGATAAGCAAACAAATATGCTAATCTTTTGAAACCTTTTTGGAAATTGAAAAATATAACTCATGTTGAATTAAAACATGACATGTAGATTTAGTAAAAACATAGTAAATAAAAAAATCAGTTTAGTCATTAGTGTATTAGTAAAGTTCAACTTATAACACTTTTTTCTTAGTGTAAATAATTCCGGTTTTTAAATTCAGCCTCTTTTAAAAATCAAATGTTTTCAATATTGAACTTGATTTTAATAGGTGGGCTAATACTGTAGACGTAAATGTTTAAGAAGCATTTTTCCGTGATTTCATGCCAATAAAATTAAACCAACACAAATAAAAACAATAAAAATTTTAAATTACCTTTGTTTACATACGAAATTCTGTTAACATCAATTATTTTAATAAAAATCTTCAATTGTTTATTAATTAGAACAAATACGAATTGTTTGCAGAATATAATAAAACATTTCAGAATGCAAACAGAAGTATTTCATTAATGATTTGAAAAGGAATTCATAACAAGGCATAACACTTTACTGAGAAAAAAAATATGCTATTTTAAATACTTTACTTACATCAGTAGTGATGAAAGTACAAAAAAAAAAAATTTCTAAATCAAAACAATTTGATAGAATATAATAATACATTAAAAAACATCAACATAAATGTTTTGTTAATGATTTAAAATGAAATAAATTGATTCACACATAACATTTCTGAGGAAAGAAAAATAGTATCAAATACTTTGTTTACATGAATTTGCTATTTTTCTATTGTTTTAAGAGTTTTAAAACAACAGAAACTGTTAACAAAAAGCAATAAGAAATTAAGAAAGTTAACACAAATAATGCTTTGAAAAAAATTTTTTTACAACATAACAATTATGCTGGGAAAAAAGCAATAAATATTTTGTCAACATCGTTTTTTTTTATATAATTTTTTCAGGTTTCTAAATTAAAACAAATTCTTCTAAGAAAATAATAAGAGATTAACAACGTTCAATAATATAATATAATATAACATATTATTGATATAAAATATTAGTGTTTAATATAAAAAAAAAATTTTAATAAATATTTTGTTTACATCAATTCTCTTATGTAATTTTTTCAAGTTTCTAAATAAAAACAAATTATTCACGAACATCATAAGAAATTTAAAAAAAGTAAACACTAATATTTTATTGATACTTTAAAATGAAATGAATTGATTCACACCAAAACTCTTTCAGAAAAGAAAAATAGCAACAGATATTAAAATTATTCAATCAAAACTCACAACAATAATAAATAAATTTCGGAAATTTCAGTCCAAAACACACAAAAAATAACACCTTAATTGTAACACTTTACCTTTGCATTCCATTCTTTGAACAAGTGGTGATATGATTGACAACAATACGTGCGCATTACAATGATCATCCTTTTTTCTATTGTTAAACAAAATAAGAGAAAAAAATGTACCCCTGCATCGGTGCATTAATAATCAAGGTCGGCGCGAATCATACACACACTGAACTTGACCTACATATTCAGCAAATTTAGACTTTCTAATCCAAAAACAGCTGATCAGTAAACACTTTCTATTTGCGAAGAAAACATCCGCAAGCGATCGCTTAGAACGAACTAAGTCGAGGAGAACATCTTAAAATGGAATTACCCAATCATCTTAGAAAAGAAGCTCAAGAGAAAAGGGAGGATGGAAAAATGTATCGGGATTTAGGAGGAAGAAATTTAATATATCGAACTACGTGGGTTCCCCTGCTTCCTGCGGATCCCTGATTAACAACATCGAGGCACTGACCATAACGTTGAGTTTTCAACCATCTACCTCGTATGGTTATCGTGTTTTTGAGTTGGCGAACTTGGCTTAGATGAAGCAATCGCCAATGAATTCTCAGAGTCCAGATTTTTTTTCTTTTGTATTATTCTCTTGTTTTTCCCATTATATAAAATTGCAGCATTGCTAGTTTACAAATCCTGTGTGTATTTTAAATAGACGATAAAGGAATAACTGCATCAAATTCTATTTTAGAAGAGAAAAATACGATTGAATCCCCATTTTCACTAAAATATTTTTAATTTGGAGCGATCACTAATCGCCGTCATTACTACAAAGGAATTCTATTATTTTTTACCTAGAATTTTGTTCAAAAAATTGATCAATGAGCAATTCTACCATTTAGGAATGCAATATTGGCAGATTTTTAAAGCTAACACTTAGTTTTTAAAAAAATATAGCAAAACTAAGTTTTAAAGACGTAACACAACATATTAAGTTCGTAACAAACGGGTTTGAATTTTTTTTCCCTAAATTTTCTAAAAGTTGAAATAAGTGTAAAAGATACCAAGACTTATTTTCACAAAAATTATTAGAAATGCACAATTTTTTTTAATAACTGAATTATATGCTTTTAAAATCTGAAATTATGATAGTCGTAAATGGTGGAATTTCCCCATTATTATTTAATGAAATTTAATACTATTAAATACAATTACAGTCCTCAGATTTCGAACAATAACATTCAAGATTCAGATTACGGAAGCATTGGTATAGTCAAACCCCAGTTTAACGAACCCCTATTTACCGAATTTCGCGATTTAACGAATTTTATGAAGTTAACGAAATAGATTAATAGGAAACAATGAAGAGCGACTCTGACACAGAAGTCGATGATATTGCATCTCCAGTGAAAACTGTTACTTTCTTAGATGCGTTGCACGGTTTTGAAACAGTGAAAACTGTTACTTTTTTTTGATGCGTTGCACGGTTTTGAAACAGTGAAAACTTACCTAATGCAATAAGATGTAAATGAAGGAGCATTTTTTTCTTTTTATGAGGTCGTAAAAAATAAGCCCTAAGTAAAAAATCAAGGAAATAAGCAAATCTTACTCTCGAAATGGTTTAAAATTTCAAATTAATCAGTGCGTAATCATTCGCTGTATTTTAATTTCCTGAATAAAAAGTGTAAGATATCTTTTCATTTTTTGCATTTGCTTAATAGAGATGTTCGAATATTCTATAAGGTTAGTCAGTTTTTTTTTAAAATTTTATTTTGCCCCGATACTGCGAATTATCCCCGATTTAGCGAATAATATTTTCGGCCCCAATGAATTCGTTAAATAGGGATTCGACTGTACTTGATTTAAATTTTATAAATGCGTTTATCACAACAAACTAATTTACTGTAGAAATCATACATGCCAGACGATACAAGTAGATTCAAAAACTCCCAACATACAATTAGATTCTAAAACTTTAACTGCACAAAGAACGGAGCACCAACGTTTACTGAATTAGTATAAAAACCATCGTTACTACTACACATTTATAGTTTACTTTTTTTTCAATGAAATATTACTTTTAAGGAAAAAGTATTTTATAAATTACTTTTTAAAACTGGCTGCTAATCGGTTTAACCATATTTTTAAAGATTTTTGTTAATTTCATAAGAATTCTGATAAATCGGATCGATTATGTCTGATCGACCACTTAAGTGGACCACTGATTTACACTAAGAATAAGTTTAAATAAAATTAAATTAAAAAATGAAGTAATAATTATTCCATAACCTTATTTCTGATTACCAAGTATTTGAAATGTATTAAAACATATACTTCATTCTTCAGTATCGTTGTTAAAGTTCGAAAGGTTAGTGGAAAATATTAAATTATGCTTCCAAATTTTTCACAATTTATAAATTATTGCTGTATAACTATTAGCAAAAACAATGTGATAAAACGAACATACACAGCGAAAGAAGAAAGTTTATTTTAATGGTGGATTTTTGCTTATAAATTTTGTTAACTTATTAAAGCAAAATTTATTTATTCAAAAAAAAAAATTAAAAATTAATAATAATAAAAAGATTTCAATATATATATATATA